TGCGGTGATGATGCCGTGATGATGCCGTGATGATGCTGTGATGATGCTGTGATGATGCCGTGATGATGCGGTGATGATGCCGTGATGATGCCGTGATGATGCCGTGATGATGCCGTGATGATGCTGTGATGATGCCGTGATGATGCGGTGATGATGCGGTGATGATGCCGTGATGATGCTCTGATGATGCCGTGATGATGCCGTGATGATGCTGTGATGATGCTGTGATGATGCTCTGATGATGCCGTGATGATGCCGTGATGATGCTGTGATGATGCCGTGATGATGCGGTGATGATGCGGTGATGATGCTGTGATGATGCTCTGATGATGCCGTGATGATGCCGTGATGATGCCGTGATGATGCTGTGATGATGCTCTGATGATGCCGTGATGATGCCGTGATGATGCGGTGATGATGCCGTGATGATGCCGTGATGATGCTCTGATGATGCCGTGATGATGCCGTGATGATGCGGTGATGATGCCGTGATGATGCCGTGATGATGCGGTGATGATGCTCTGATGAGGCCGTGATGATGCCGTGATGATGCCGTGATGATGCGGTGATGATGCTCTGATGATGCTCTGATGATGCTCTGATGATGCCGTGATGATGCCGTGATGATGCGGTGATGATGCCGTGATGATGCGGTGATGATGCTCTGCTGATGCTCTGATGATGCTCTGATGATGCCGTGATGATGCCGTGATGATGCCGTGATGATGGCGTGATGATGCCGTGATGATGCGGTGATGATGCCGTGATGATGCGGTGATGATGCCGTGATGATGCCGTGATGATGCGGTGATGATGCCGTGATGATGCTGTGATGATGCTCTGATGATGCTGTGATGATGCTCTGATGATGCTGTGATGATGCCGTGATGATGCGGTGATGATGCGGTGATGATGCCGTGATGATGCTCTGATGATGCCGTGATGATGCTGTGATGATGCTCTGATGATGCTGTGATGATGCGGTGATGATGCCGTGATGATGCCGTGATGATGCGGTGATGATGCCGTGATGATGCTGTGATGATGCTGTGATGATGCCGTGATGATGCGGTGATGATGCCGTGATGATGCGGTGATGATGCCGTGATGATGCTGTGATGATGCTGTGATGATGCTCTGATGATGCCGTGATGATGCCGTGATGATGCGGTGATGATGCGGTGATGATGCGGTGATGATGCCGTGATGATGCTGTGATGATGCCGTGATGATGCCGTGATGATGCGGTGATGATGCGGTGATGATGCGGTGATGATGCCGTGATGATGCTGTGATGATGCTGTGATGATGCCGTGATGATGCGGTGATGATGCCGTGATGATGCCGTGATGATGCCGTGATGATGCCGTGATGATGCTGTGATGATGCCGTGATGATGCGGTGATGATGCGGTGATGATGCTGTGATGATGCTCTGATGATGCCGTGATGATGCCGTGATGATGCTGTGATGATGCTGTGATGATGCTCTGATGATGCCGTGATGATGCCGTGATGATGCTGTGATGATGCCGTGATGATGCGGTGATGATGCGGTGATGATGCTGTGATGATGCTCTGATGATGCCGTGATGATGCCGTGATGATGCCGTGATGATGCTGTGATGATGCTCTGATGATGCCGTGATGATGCCGTGATGATGCGGTGATGATGCCGTGATGATGCTGTGATGATGCTGTGATGATGCCGTGATGATGCGGTGATGATGCGGTGATGATGCCGTGATGATGCTCTGATGATGCCGTGATGATGCGGTGATGATGCGGTGATTATCTTGTACATCATGGCCAGAAGCTTCGTTTGTTTCCCATTGTGCTCCTCATAATTCAGACCTAAATCATTATTTTTAAATGAATGATAGCATCCACAGCAGGGCCTCACAGTGAACCTCAGGACGGATCTAGCTGCTCCAGCTCTGCTGAGCTGTTGTCCTGTTTAGCCCCAGCCTTTGTGTGGAAGGTTGCTGGTTCACTCCTATTTGCATGAGCCTGGCATTAGCTTCACTGATTTGAATAACCAGGTTGGGGGGGGGGGGGGGGGCAAAGCGTGTGGTCTACTGCTGCGATCCGGGATGGAAAAGGAAATCTGTGGTGAAACAGTTTGTCTCCATTTGCTCCCTAATGATGAGCATCAGCCTTCCTGTCTGTTAGGCCACGCCCACTGCAGCCCAGCCTCACTGAGACTTGGTTCACTGGCAGCAGCTGAAAACCAGACGGAATAAGGAGCGAGGGAGACGAGACGGGCCTCCGTGTTACGATGTTCTTAACCCAGAAACGTCCATTAGCTGGAAGTCACTGACTGGATGACCTCAGATTTCCTTGGAGGCGGAACCTGGAATGATCCTCGGAAATTCCCTCTGCTTTTATTTTACAATATTTCTTCAACCCCTTTTTTTTTTTTTTTTTTTGCAAGTGTTAATACGAGAATTTAACCCATGGGGGGGTGGCGGCCTAGTGGTTAGAGCATAGGGCAGAGGTCACGGTTTAGGGACCTGGGTCCGGATCCAGACCCGGACCCACCTGCTGGCTAATCTGGACCCAAACTGATTTAAAACATTTATAAATTACCGCATGTTGTCCGAAGACAGAGTCTAAACGTCACTTGCTCCGCTTCTCCTGTTGCCCTGAAATCCCCCATCCTCCATCACCCCCCCGCAGCGCTGGGGGCGGTTCCTGGGAATCAGGAAATTCTCTATAAACCAAACTGAACGATTGTTGTTCTCTACTTCAAAAACCACTTTACATTTTAAAATGCTTGCCACTCTGGGTCCCTGAGCAAGACCTTTAACCCCACACTGCTCTCCAGGCGCCGCACAATGGCAGCCCACTGCTCCTCAAGGGGAGGGGTTAAATGCAGAGTTAATTTCATTGCTCTGTACTGGTGACGATGGAATGACAATAAAACGCTGGAAAATACGTCTTCATAAGGAGGAGGTGTTAGCCACATTAGCAGTTTATCATTTCCTGATCTCTGAAACAGTAACATACGGGTAGCATGGAGGGCTAATGTTAGCATGGGGATAGCATGATGGGCTAATGTTAGCATGGGAATAGCAAGGAGGGCTAATATTAGAATGGGGATGGCATGGACGGCTAATGTTAGCATGGGAATGGCATGAAGGGCTAATGTTAGCATGGGGATAGCATGATGGGCTAATGTTAGCATGGGAATAGCATGAAGGGCTAATGTTAGCATGGGATAGCATGATGGGCTAATGTTAGCATGGGAATAGCATGAAGGGCTAATGTTAGCATGGGGATAGCATGATGGGCTAATGTTAGCATGGGGATAGCATGATGGGCTAATGTTAGCATTGATATAACATTGTGGGCTAATGTTACCTTAGGGAGGTAAGGAAGGCTTATGTTAGCATGGGATAGTATAGTGGGCTAAAGTTAGCATTGGGATAGCATGGTGGGCTAATGTTAGCATTGGGATAGCATGGTGGGCTAATGTTAGCTTTGGGATAGCATGGTGGGCTTATGTTTGCTTGGGGATAGCATGATCAGCTAATGTTAGCATGAGGATAGCATGGTGGGCTAATGTTAGCATGGAGATAGTATAGAGGGCTGGCTAATGCTAGCTTAGAGATAGCATGGTGGTTAAATGTTAGCATGGGTATAGCAAAGCAGACAGGCTAATGTTAGCATTGGGAAAGCAAGGAGGGCTAATGTTAGCATTGATATAGCATTGTGGGCTAATGTTAGCATGAGGATAGCATGGTGGGCTAATGTTAGCATGGAGATAGTATAGAGGGCTGGCTAATGCTAGCTTAGAGATAGCATGGTGGTTAAATGTTAGCATGGGTATAGCAAAGCAGACAGGCTAATGTTAGCATTGGGATAGCAAGGAGGGCTAATGTTAGCATTGATATAGCATTGTGGGCTAATGTTAGCATGAGGATAGCATGGTGGGCTAATGTTGGCAGCCTTCCAGGATTGCTGCCAGTCCAGGACAGCAGCGGACCCTCTGGGCCCTTTGACCTCCGACCTCCATCAGCTCAGATGCTGTAATCAGAACAGAAACGGATTTAGTCTGAGGAGATGAAGACCTCTGGAGGTCTCCATGGTGTGAGCTCCATCCTGCTTCTCTATCTATTCCTGAAGCAAGCAGCTGGGGGGGGGGGTGCAGGAAGTAGACGTCTCCAGCTCCATGGTGGCTCCACAGCTGAAGTGACCTGCTGAATCTGGCCCACAGCATGATGCATCAGGGCTTTGCCCGCCTTCAGGGCAGCAATAATCTCTGGGAAGAAAAGGGATCGGGGGGGGGGGGGTTATTATGGGATGGCTCAGCAGCTGCTTCCTGTCTGCTCTGATACAGAATAAACGCTCTTAATTTTTAACAGCATAAACATTTATTCTCTGGTTGGGACCAAAATGTCTGCTTCCTTCTTATTTAGCAGCAGATAAACTCTATAGAAATGTTATGATCAGGGCTGATGATGGGTTCAGGTTCATCCAGACGTGTCGGACTCTGTGCACAGAGACGGAACCGCAGTCATTCAGCTGCACCCCCCACCCCCCCGCAGTGACTCCGGCATCAGCTGCCCTGAGAAAGACGCCTGCAGAGCTGCTAAAACAGTTTGACACCTTCTGAGGGGGGGGGGGGGGGGGGGGGGGGGGTCCTCTTCCTGTTGACACTGCAGCAGCCTGAACCAAACCAGCGGATGGAGGAACTTCAGGAGCCTCTGGACCCAAAGGGCCTCAGCTTTGGCCCCTGCACAGGCTTTTATTTTGAAAGGTCGGACTACTTCTTCTGTGACAGTTGGTTTAGCTCCATCAGATGGATCCTGGTTCTGCTCTGAATGGCGGGCTGGTTCTGTTGGGTTTAAACGGACCCGGCTGGTTCTGCTAGGAGGACGACCTGTCCCTCCAGGGGTCTGATGGGGTGGGAGGAGTCTGACGGGGTGGGAGGAGTCTGACGGGGTGGGAGGAGTCTCAGGATGTTGTCATTAACACTTCCTGTGTTTGTGTCCTCAGATCACCAGAAGCTGGAGCGCGAGGCGCGGATCTGCCGCCTGCTCAAACACGCCAACATCGGTAGATATGACCGCCCATCCACACTGTTCATTTATTCTATTCACTTTATTTCTATGCTCCAATTCACATCCTATCATCTCAGGACACTTTCTAGATCCAGATCAGTCAGATCATTTAGCCACTGACTCTACAGGATGAATAGGTAGATATAGGAGATATAGAATCTGCAGCAATAGAGGAGAGGAACCAGAACCAGGCTCGGTGTGAGCGGCCATCTGCTGAGGCCCACTGGGGTTCAAGGAGACAGAAGCAGAGGCTTCATGAGGCTGTGCTGTGTGGCTCCGCCCCCCAGCGCCGTCCTGTCCTTCCTCCATTTCCAGCAGACTGGAGCATCTGGCCGCTCTGCACGCTCCCCCATCATCAGATGATGCAACGCTGTTTCTACTTCAGATCTTTGCATTTTCAGGAAAGCTCAGTGTTGCGCAGAAATCCAACATGGCCGCCCATGTTTGATGAGAGGCGTCTGATTGGATCAGAATGAGACCTTCTGCTCAACATGCTGAGAAAACAGGATGATTACAGCTTTAATCTGGCATTATTACAGCTTTAATCTGGCATTATTACAGCTTTAATCTGCCATTATTACAGCTTTAATCTGCCATTATTGCAGCTTTAATCTGCCATTATTACAGCTTTAATCTGCCATTATTGCAGCTTTAATCTGGCATTATTACAGCTTTAATCTGCCATTATTACAGCTTTAATCTGCCATTATTGCAGCTTGAATCTGGCATTATTGCAGCTTTAATCTGCCATTATTACAGCTTTAATCTAGTATTATTACAGCTTTAATCTGCCATTATTACAGCTTTAATCTGCCATTATTACAGTTTGAATCTGCCATTATTACAGCTTTAATCTGCCATTATTACAGCTTTAATCTGCCATTATTACAGCTTTAATCTGGCATTATTGCAGCTTGAATCTGGCATTATTGCAGCTCTAATCTGGCATTATTACAGCTTTAATCTGCCATTATTACAGCTTTAATCTGCCATTATTACAGCTTTAATCTGCCATTATTACAGCTTTAATCTGGCATTATTGCAGCTTGAATCTGGCATTATTGCAGCTCTAATCTGGCATTATTGCAGCTTTAATCTGGCATTATTACAGCTTTAATCTAGTATTATTACAGCTTTAATCTGCCATTATTACAGCTTTAATCTGCCATTATTACAGTTTGAATCTGCCATTATTACAGCTTTAATCTGCCATTATTACAGCTTTAATCTGCCATTATTACAGCTTTAATCTGGCATTATTGCAGCTTGAATCTGGCATTATTGCAGCTCTAATCTGGCATTATTACAGCTTTAATCTGGCATTATTACAGCTTGAATCTGGCATTATTGCAGCTCTAATCTGGCATTATTACAGCTTTAATCTGGCATTATTACAGCTTTAATCTGGCATTATTACAGCTTTAATCTGCCATTATTGCAGCTTTAATCTGCCATTATTACAGCTTTAATCTGCCATTATTGCAGCTTTAATCTGCCATTATTACAGCTTTAATCTGCCATTATTACAGCTTTAATCTGCCATTATTGCAGCTTGAATCTGGCATTATTGCAGCTTTAATCTGGCATTATTACAGCTTTAATCTAGTATTATTACAGCTTTAATCTGCCATTATTACAGCTTTAATCTGCCATTATTACAGTTTGAATCTGCCATTATTACAGCTTTAATCTGCCATTATTACAGCTTTAATCTGCCATTATTACAGCTTTAATCTGGCATTATTGCAGCTTTAATCTGGCATTATTGCAGCTTGAATCTGGCATTATTGCAGCTCTAATCTGGCATTATTACAGCTTTAATCTGGCATTATTACAGCTTTAATCTGGCATTATTACAGCTTTAATCTGGCATTATTACAGCTTTAATCTGCCATTATTACAGCTTTAATCTGCCCTTATTGCAGCTTTAATCTGGCAATATTACAGCTTTAATCTGCCATTATTACAGCTTTAATCTGCCATTATTACAGCTTTAATCTGGCATTATTACAGCTTTAATCTGCCATTATTACAGCTTTAATCTGGCATTATTACAGCTTTAATCTGGCATTATTACAGCTTTAATCTGGCATTATTACAGCTTTAATCTGGCATTATTACAGCTTTAATCTGGCATTATTACAGCTTTAATCTGGCAATATTACAGCTTTAATCTGCCATTATTGCAGCTTTAATCTGCCATTATTACAGCTTTAATCTGGCATTATTACAGCTTTAATCTGCCATTATTACAGCTTTAATCTGGCATTATTACAGCTTTAATCTGCCATTATTGCAGCTTTAATCTGCCATTATTACAGCTTTAATCTGCCATTATTACAGCTTTAATCTGCCATTATTACAGCTTTAATCTGGCATTATTACAGCTTTGATCTGGCATTATTACAGCTTTAATCTGGTATTATTACAGCTTTAATCTGGCATTATTACAGCTTTAATCTGGCATTATTACAGCTTTAATCTGGCATTATTACAGCTTTAATCTGGCATTATTACAGCTTTAATCTGGCAATATTACAGCTTTAATCTGGCATTATTACAGCTTTAATCTGGTATTATTGCAGCTTTAATCTGGCATTATTACAGCTTTAATCTGGCAATATTACAGCTTTAATCTGGCATTATTACAGCTTTAATCTGCCATTATTACAGCTTTAATCTGGCATTATTACAGCTTTGATCTGGCATTATTACAGCTTTAATCTGGTATTATTACAGCTTTAATCTGGCATTATTACAGCTTTAATCTGGCATTATTACAGCTTTAATCTGGCATTATTACAGCTTTAATCTGGCATTATTACAGCTTTAATCTGGCAATATTACAGCTTTAATCTGGCATTATTACAGCTTTAATCTGGTATTATTACAGCTTTAATCTGGCATTATTACAGCTTTAATCTGGCATTATTACAGCTTTAATCTGGCATTATTACAGCTTTAATCTGGCATTATTACAGCTTTAATCTGGCAATATTACAGCTTTAATCTGGCATTATTACAGCTTTAATCTGGTATTATTACAGCTTTAATCTGGCATTATTACAGCTTTAATCTGGCATTATTACAGCTTTAATCTGGCATTATTACAGCTTTAATCTGGCATTATTACAGCTTTAATCTGGCAATATTACAGCTTTAATCTGGCATTATTACAGCTTTAATCTGGCAATATTACAGCTTTAATCTGGCATTATTACAGCTTTAATCTGGCATTATTACAGCTTTAATCTGGCATTATTACAGCTTTAATCTGGCATTATTACAGCTTTAATCTGGCATTATTACAGCTTTAATCTGGCATTATTACAGCTTTAATCTGGCAATATTACAGCTTTAATCTGGCATTATTACAGCTTTAATCTGGCATTATTACAGCTTTAATCTGGCATTATTACAGCTTTAATCTGGTATTACTGTAATTCCAGAATGTTTCAATTATACAACTCTATTGTGGAATAGATTTAAACTCCTGTTGCGACTTTATTCTCTTAATATTTGGACTTTATTCTCATGCTTAAATCTTGTAACAAAGAATAAACACTAATTTTAATCCTCAGTCGCATTCTGGAACACTTTCTATGTTTTTAAGTTTAATGCCATGAAAGGACGCCGTCCTCCGCCGGCGGCGGAGAGCGGGACGCCGTCCTCCGTCGCTGAAGCAGAGCGGGACGCCGTCCTCCGTCGCTGACGCTGTCGTCTGGTCCTCTCACTCGTCTCTCTCTGTCTCCCTCACAGTGCGGCTCCATGAAAGCATATCAGAGGAAGGATTCCACTACCTGGTCTTTGACCTGTAAGTCCCGCTGGTTTCACTGGTTTCACTGGTCAGGATGAATACCTTGGTGTTCACCTGGAACCCAGACTGGATGGCAGAAGATGCTGCAGAACTTCTATCAACATCTGGATGAAGGAACATCCAGAGCTACATTTATAGATCAGTGGGATCAGTGAAGAAGTTCTACCTGCAGGTTCTTTTTCTTCTGGTTCTGCTCTCTGCTGGACTCCAACGTCTCCATGTCCTCCTGTCCTCAGGGTTACTGGAGGGGAGCTGTTTGAGGACATCGTGGCCCGAGAGTTCTACAGCGAAGCTGATGCCAGGTCAGAATCACCCCCCACCCCCCCACCCCCCACGCCCCCCCCAACACAACCGCTAACCAACCCCCCCCCCCCAGCAGAACCCTCTGCCTAAGTTGTTGAAATTGAGAACAGTAGTGACTCTATTTTCATGTTTTAGTGTTCTGTTCTTTCTGCCGTATCCGGCGTAGATCTGTAGAATCAGAATGCAGCCATTGAAGGTGGCGTAGATCTGTAGAATCAGAATGCAGCCGTTGAAGGTGGCGTAGATCTGTAGAATCAGAATGCAGCCGTTGAAGGTGGCGTAGATCTGTAGAATCAGAATGCAGCCGTTGAAGGTGGCGTAGATCTGTAGAATCAGAATGCAGCCGTTGAAGCCGGCGTAGATCTGTAGGATCAGAATGCAGCCGTTGAAGGTGGCGTAGATCTGTAGAATCAGAATGCAGCCGTTGAAGGTGGCGTAGATCTGTAGAATCAGAATGCAGCCGTTGAAGGTGGCGTAGATCTGTAGAATCAGAATGCAGCCGTTGAAGCCGGCGTAGATCTGTAGGATCAGAATGCAGCCATTGAAGGTGGCGTAGATCTGTAGAATCAGAATGCAGCCATTGAAGGTGGCGTAGATCTGTAGGATCAGAATGCAGCCGTTGAAGCCGGCGTAGATCTGTAGGATCAGAATGCAGCCGTTGAAGCCGGCTTAGATCTGTAGAATCAGAATGCAGCCATTGAAGGTGGCGTAGATCTGTAGAATCAGAATGCAGCCGTTGAAGCCGGCGTAGATCTGTAGGATCAGAATGCAGCCGTTGAAGGTGGCGTAGATCTGTAGAATCAGAATGCAGCCGTTGAAGGTGGCGTAGATCTGTAGAATCAGAATGCAGCCGTTGAAGCCGGCGTAGATCTGTAGGATCAGAATGCAGCCGTTGAAGCCGGCGTAGATCTGTAGAATCAGAATGCAGCCATTGAAGGTGGCGTACATCTGTAGAATCAGAATGCAGCCGTTGAAGCCGGCGTAGATCTGTAGGATCAGAATGCAGCCGTTGAAGGTGGCGTAGATCTGTAGAATCAGAATGCAGCCGTTGAAGGTGGCGTAGATCTGTAGAATCAGAATGCAGCCGTTGAAGCCGGCGTAGATCTGTAGGATCGGAATGCAGCCGTTGAAGCCGGCGTAGATCTGTAGAATCAGAATGCAGCCGTTGAAGGTGGCGTAGATCTGTAGAATCAGAATGCAGCCGTTGAAGGTGGCATAGATATGTGGAATCAGAATGCAGCCGTTGAAGCCGGCGTAGATCTGTAGGATCAGAATGCAGCCGTTGAAGCCGGCGTAGATCTGTAGAATCAGAATGCAGCCATTGAAGGTGGCGTAGATCTGTAGAATCAGAATGCAGCCGTTGAAGCCGGCGTAGATCTGTAGGATCGGAATGCAGCCGTTGAAGCCGGCGTAGATCTGTAGAATCAGAATGCAGCCGTTGAAGGTGGCGTAGATCTGTAGAATCAGAATGCAGCCGTTGAAGGTGGCATAGATATGTGGAATCAGAATGCAGCCGTTGAAGCCGGCGTAGATCTGTAGGATCAGAATGCAGCCGTTGAAGGTGGCGTAGATCTGTAGAATCAGAATGCAGCCGTTGAAGCCGGCGTAGATCTGTAGGATCAGAATGCAGCCGTTGAAGGTGGCGTAGATCTGTAGAATCAGAATGCAGCCGTTGAAGCCGGCTTAGATCTGTAGAATCAGAATGCAGCCATTGAAGGTGGCGTAGATCTGTAGAATCAGAATGCAGCCGTTGAAGCCGGCGTAGATCTGTAGGATCAGAATGCAGCCGTTGAAGCCGGCGTAGATCTGTAGAATCAGAATGCAGCCGTTGAAGCCGGCGTAGATCTGTAGGATCAGAATGCAGCCGTTGAAGCCGGCGTAGATCTGTAGAATCAGAATGCAGCCGTTGAAGCCGGCGTAGATCTGTAGAATCAGAATGCAGCCGTTGAAGGTGGCGTAGATCTGTAGAATCAGAATGCAGCCGTTGAAGCCGGCGTAGATCTGTAGGATCAGAATGCAGCCGTTGAAGCCGGCGTAGATCTGTAGAATCAGAATGCAGCCGTTGAAGCCGGCGTAGATCTGTAGGATCAGAATGCAGCCGTTGAAGCCGGCGTAGATCTGTAGAATGAGAATGCAGCCGTTGAAGCCGGCGTAGATCTGTAGAATCAGAATGCAGCCGTTGAAGCCGGCGTAGATCTGTAGAATCAGAATGCAGCCGTTGAAGCCGGCGTAGATCTGTAGAATCAGAATGCAGCCGTTGAAGCCGGCGTAGATCTGTAGAATCAGAATGCAGCCGTTGAAGCCGGCGTAGATCTGTAGAATCAGAATGCAGCCGTTGAAGCCGGCGTAGATCTGTAGGATCAGAATGCAGCCGTTGAAGCCGGCGTAGATCTGTAGGATCAGAATGCAGCCGTTGAAGCCGGCGTAGATCTGTAGAATCAGAATGCAGCCGTTGAAGGTGGCGTAGATCTGTAGAATCAGAATGCAGCCGTTGAAGCCGGCGTAGATCTGTAGAATCAGAATGCAGCCGTTGAAGGTGGCGTAGATCTGTAGAATCAGAATGCAGCCGTTGAAGCCGGCGTAGATCTGTAGAATCAGAATGCAGCCGTTGAAGCCGGCGTAGATCTGTAGAATCAGAATGCAGCCGTTGAAGCCGGCGTAGATCTGTAGGATCAGAATGCAGCCGTTGAAGCCGGCGTAGATCTGTAGAATCAGAATGCAGCCGTTGAAGCCGGCGTAGATCTGTAGAATCAGAATGCAGCCGTTGAAGCCGGCGTAGATCTGTAGAATCAGAATGCAGCCGTTGAAGCCGGCGTAGATCTGTAGAATCAGAATGCAGCCGTTGAAGCCGGCGTAGATCTGTAGAATCAGAATGCAGCCGTTGAAGCCGGCGTAGATCTGTAGAATCAGAATGCAGCCGTTGAAGCCGGCGTAGATCTGTAGAATCAGAATGCAGCCGTTGAAGCCGGCGTAGATCTGTAGAATCAGAATGCAGCCGTTGAAGCCGGCGTAGATCTGTAGGATCAGAATGCAGCCGTTGAAGCCGGCGTAGATCTGTAGGATCAGAATGCAGCCGTTGAAGCCGGCGTAGATCTGTAGAATCAGAATGCAGCCGTTGAAGCCGGCGTAGATCTGTAGAATCAGAATGCAGCCGTTGAAGGTGGCGTAGATCTGTAGAATCAGAATGCAGCCGTTGAAGCCGGCGTAGATCTGTAGGATCAGAATGCAGCCGTTGAAGGTGGCGTAGATCTGTAGAATCAGAATGCAGCCGTTGAAGCCGGCGTAGATCTGTAGGATCAGAATGCAGCCGTTGAAGGTGGCGTAGATCTGTAGAATCAGAATGCAGCCGTTGAAGCCGGCGTAGATCTGTAGAATCAGAATGCAGCGGTTGAAGGTGGCGTAGATCTGTAGAATCAGAATGCAGCAGTTGAGGCCGGTAGCGTAGATCTGTAGAATCAGAATGCAGCCGTTGAAGGTGGCGTAGATCTGTAGAATCAGAATGCAGCCGTTGAAGCCGGCGTAGATCTGTAGGATCAGAATGCAGCCGTTGAAGCCGGCGTAGATCTGTAGAATCAGAATGCAGCCGTTGAAGCCGGCGTAGATCTGTAGAATCAGAATGCAGCCGTTGAAGCCGGCGTAGATCTGTAGAATCAGAATGCAGCCGTTGAAGCCGGCGTAGATCTGTAGGATCAGAATGCAGCCGTTGAAGCCGGCGTAGATCTGTGGAATCAGAATGCAGCCGTTGAAGCCGGCATAGATCTGTAGAATCAGAATGCAGCCGTTGAAGCCGGCGTAGATCTGTAGGATCAGAATGCAGCCGTTGAGGCCAGCATAGATCTGTAGAATCAGAATGCAGGCGTTAAAGCCGGCATAGATCTGTAGAATCAGAATGCAGCCGTTGAAGCCGGCGTAGATCTGTAGAATCAGAATGCAGCCGTTGAAGGTTTCAGAAGGAGAGCCTGTCATTAATGTGTCGCCACCTGGTGTTTGTCTGCAGTCACTGCATCCAGCAGATCCTGGAGGCCGTGCTCCACTGCCACCAGATGGGCGTGGTTCACCGCGACCTGAAGGTAGGTGAAGACCTGATGGAATCGACCAATCAGAGCCTCTCTCTGCTCTCGTCGTCTCATTTGGCAGCCAAATGGTTTCAGCTCCCAACAATAACCAGCTTCCTGTGATCTGATTGGCTGTTGCCAGGCAACTGCTTGTTGAAAGCAGCAGACAAACAAATGAGCTGCTGTCCTGATTCCCCAGGCTGCCTGTTCTGTCCTGGAGACACAGGCGGCCATCTTTGCTTCCTCACATCAGCAGAATGAATGTGATTTATGGCGAAGGGACAGAAACAGGCGCAGCAGCGCTGATAAACCGAACAGCTAAAGTTACGCTGAGCAAACACCCCCCTCTGGTGGCCAAATGAAGAACTGCTGTCAGCTCAGACCTGGGTCCCAGAGACGGTTCTGTCAGGATCTAGATGCATAGATTGGCCTCCTTAGTGTTCATGGAGGGACGTACATTCTGCCACCTGTCCCTGGGACCGGGGGGGGGGGGCACCGGCTGTTCATTAACCCGTCCCGGTCAGCTGATCCAGAAACCGTCGATGGAGCAACCTTTGCCCTCAGGAGATAAAGCGGATCTAATCTGTTTGTTTCTATAGATCTCAGTCCAGATGTTTGCAGATAAACTTAAATTGCCGTCCTGACAGGATCCGATAGAACCAGGTCAGAACCAGAACCTTCAGCCCCAACTCCTGCTCATCTTCCTGGTTCTGTTTGTTCCACATCAAACAGATGGATCTCTGTGGGCTTTATGAGGCACTGGCTCTGATCCGGCCTCTGATCCGGGCTCAGAACCGGGCTCAGAACCGGGCTCTGATCCGGCCTCTGATCCGGCCTCTGATCCGGGCTCAGAACCGGGCTCTGAACCGGGCTCAGAACCGGGCTCTGAACCGGGCTCAGAACCGGGCTCAGAACCGGGCTCTGATCCGGCCTCTGATCCGGCCTCTGATCCGGGCTCAGAACCGGGCTCAGAACCGGGCTCAGAACCGGGCTCAGAACCGGGCTCTGAACCGGGCTCAGAACCGGGCTCTGATCTGGCCTCTGAACCGGGCTCAGAACCGGGCTCAGAACCGGGCTCAGAACCGGGCTCAGAACCGGGCTCTGAACCGGGCTCAGAACCGGGCTCTGATCTGGCCTCTGAACCGGGCTCTGAACCGGGCTCAGAACCGGGCTCAGAACCGGGCTCAGAACCGGGCTCAGAACCGGGCTCAGAACCGGGCTCTGATCCGGCCTCTGAACCGGGCTCTGATCTGGCCTCTGAACCGGGCTCAGAACCGGGCTCTGATCTGGCCTCTGAACCGGGCTCTGAACCGGGCTCAGAACCGGGCTCTGATCCGGCCTCTGAACCGGGCTCTGATCTGGCCTCTGAACCGGGCTCAGAACCGGGCTCTGATCTGGCCTCTGAACCGGGCTCTGAACCGGGCTCAGAACCGGGCTCAGAACCGGGCTCAGAACCGGGCTCAGAACCGGGCTCAGAACCGGGCTCAGAACCGGGCTCTGAACCGGGCTCTGATCCGGCCTCTGAACCGGGCTCAGAACCGGGCTCAGAACCGGGCTCTGAACCGGGCTCAGAACCGGGCTCAGAACCGGGCTCAGAACCGGGCTCAGAACCGGGCTCTGATCTGGCCTCTGAACCGGGCTCTGAACCGGGCTCTGAACCGGGCTCTGAACCGGGCTCAGAACCGGGCTCTGATCCGGGCTCAGAACCGGGCTCTGAACCGGGCTCAGAACCGGGCTCAGAACCGGGCTCTGAACCGGGCTCTGATCCGGCCTCTGAACCGGGCTCAGAACCGGGCTCTGATCCGGGCTCAGAACCGGGCTCTGATCCGGGCTCAGAACCGGGCTCTGAACCGGGCTCTGAACCGAGCTCAGAACCGGGCTCTGAACCGGGCTCTGAACCGGGCTCTGATCCGGCCTCTGATCCGGCCTCTGAACCGGGCTCTGAACCGGGCTCTGAACCGAGCTCAGAACCGGGCTCTGAACCGAGCTCAGAACCGGGCTCAGAACCGGGCTCAGAACCGGGCTCTGAACCGGGCTCTGATCCGGCCTCTGAACCGGGCTCAGAACCGGGCTCTGATCCGGGCTCAGAACCGGGCTCTGATCCGGGCTCAGAACCGGGCTCTGAACCGGGCTCTGAACCGAGCTCTGAACCGGGCTCTGAACCGAGCTCTGAACCGGGCTCTGATCCGGGCTCAGAACCGGGCTCAGAACCGGGCTCTGAACCGGGCTCTGAACCGGGCTCTGAACCGGGCTCTGAACCGGGCTCTGATCCGGCCTCTGAACCGGGCTCTGAACCGGGCTCTGATCCGGGCTCTGAACCGGGCTCAGAACCGGGCTCTGATCCGGGCTCTGAACCGGGCTCTGAACCGGGCTCAGAACCGGGCTCAGAACCGGGCTCTGATCCGAGCTCTGAACCGGGCTCAGAACCGGGCTCTGATCCGGCCTCTGAACCGGGCTCTGATCCGGGCTCTGAACCGGGCTCAGAACCGGGCTCTGATCCGGCCTCTGAACCGGGCTCTGATCCGGGCTCTGAACCGGGCTCTGATCCGGCCTCTGAATCGGGCTCTGATCCGGCCTCTGAACCGGGCTCTGATCCGGGCTCTGAACCGGGCTCAGAACCGGGCTCTGATCCGGGCTCAGAACCGGGCTCTGATCCGGCCTCTGAACCGGGCTCTGATCCGGGCTCTGAACCGGGCTCTGAACCGGCCTCTGAATCGGGCTCTGATCCGGCCTCTGAACCGGGCTCTGATCCGGGCTCTGATCCGGGCTCTGATCCGGCCTCTGAATCGGGCTCTGATCCGGCCTCTGAACCGGGCTCTGATCCGGGCTCTGAACCGGGCTCAGAACCGGGCTCTGATCCGGCCTCTGAACCGGGCTCTGATCCGGGCTCTGAACCGGGCTCAGAACCGGGCTCTGATCCGGGCTCTGAACCGGGCTCTGATCCGGGCTCTGAACCGGGCTCTGATCCGGCCTCTGAACCGGGCTCAGAACCGGGCTCTGATCCGGGCTCTGATCCGGCCTCTGAATCGGGCTCTGATCCGGCCTCTGAACCGGGCTCTGATCCGGCCTCTGAACCGGGCTCTGATCCGGGCTCTGAACCGGGCTCTGAACCGGGCTCTGATCCGGCCTCTGAACCGGGCTCTGATCCGGGCTCTGAACCGGGCTCTGATCCGGGCTCTGAACCGGGCTCAGAACCGGGCTCTGAACCGGGCTCTGAACCGGGCTCAGAACCGGCCTCTGAATCGGGCTCTGAACCGGGCTCTGAATCGGGCCCAGAACCGGGCTCTGAACCGGGCTCTGAACCGGGCTCTGAATCGGGCTCAGAACCGGCCTCTGAATCGGGCTCAGAACCGGCCTCTGAATCGGGCTCAGAACCGGGCTCAGAACCGGGCTCTGAACCGGGCTCTGATCCGGGCTCTGAACCGGGCTCAGAACCGGGCTCTGAACCGGCCTCAGAACCGGGCTCTGAACCGGCCTCAGAACCGGGCTCTGAACCGGCCTCTGAATCGGGCTCTGAACCGGCCTCTGAACCGGCCTCAGAACCGGGCTCTGAACCGGCCTCTGAATCGGGCTCTGAACCGGCCTCTGAACCGGCCTCAGAACCGGCCTCTGAATCGGGCTCTGAACCGGGCTGTGAACCGGGCTGTGAACCGGCCTCAGAACCGGGCTCTGAACCGGCCTCTGAATCGGGCTCTGAACCGGGCTCTGAACCGGCCTCTGAATCGGGCTCTGAACCGGGCTCTGAATCGGGCTCTGAACCGGCCTCTGAACCGAGCTCAGAACCGGCCTCTGAATCGGGCTCTGAACCGGGCTGTGAACCGGGCTGTGAACCGAGCTCAGAACCGGCCTCTGAACCGGGCTCTGAACCGGCCTCAGAACCGGGCTCTGAACCGAGCTCTGAACCGGGCTGTGAACCGGGCTCTGATCCGGGCTCAGAACCGGCCTCTGAACCGGGCTGATCATTTAGCTTCTGCTGGTTTGGGGGAATGAGCAGAACCATGGAGGCAGCTGCTGATGGTTTGTACCGGGCCCTGTACCGGGCCCTGGTTCTGCCATAGGGTTCTGCTCTCCAACAGAGCAGACACGGCGGTGTAGGGCTGATGCTGTGGGCTGCTTTTAACCTGCTTCCACAGCCTCTGCTGGTCGGGAACAGATTGTCCACCTGAGCAGCAGCTCTGCAGCTCCTCCAGACCTGCTCCTCCTCCAGCTGCTCTACCAAACGCTCAGAATTTGGACTGGGATGGATCCTCAGCCTTCATCTGACCAATTAGTGGAGTCATGATAGTCAGCACCCCCACCCCCCCCACCCTGACCCTGAGGGGTCTGCTTGGTAGGGCAGAGCCAATCAGCTTCCAGAATCTCAGACCCGCCCTTGTAAGAGCTCTCCTTGCAAAGCATTGTGGGAATGTTGTTGTAGCGGCAAAATTACAAATATGGCGCATGTACGGTGCGGGGAGGCGAAGTCACGTGACCAACAGGGAGCGAAAAGCAGTGATCAACTGTCTGAACGGTCTGTTAACTGAGTTCACTAGAACGTCTCCACTCGATATAGTTATGGAGGGATTAGGGATTAGCGGTGAGGGGTTAGGGGATAGGGATTAGGGGTTAGGGGTGAGGGGTTAGGGGATAGGGATTAGGGGTTAGGGGTGAGGGGTTAGGGGATAGGGATTAGGGGTTAGGGGTGAGGGGTTAGGAGTGAGGGATTAGGGGTTAGGATGGACAGTCGGACCCTGTCCCGGTCTGCGTCTCCTCCTGGTTCCTTTTGCTCCAATGATTAGACATGTTTCGGTTTCTCCTCCAGCCGGAGAACCTGCTGCTGGCCAGCAAGCTGAAGGGGGCGGCGGTCAAACTGGCGGACTTCGGCCTGGCCATCGAGGTCCAGGGGGACCAGCAGGCCTGGTTCGGTGAGTACTGCATGCTTCCGCTCCGTTAGAACCTGGTTCGGTCCGACAGAGCTGCTCTGTCACAGGGATCTGGTTCTGGATGGAACCGGTTCTGGCTCTGTTCCCCGTTTACCATCAGCTGGATTCCTTCTGGCCGCTTCAGAACTAGGTGTCCTGCTCATGACCCGGTTCTTAGAACCGTCCTGGTTCTGAGTAGAAACAACACCAGAGTTCTGCTCAGAACCGGCTGGGTTCCGGGCCAGTCCAACCTGCGGGCTAGTGGAGCCCGGCCCTAAGAGGAATGGTTGATGGCGGCCCGGTTTAACCCTGGTGTTTGTGGTTTCAGGTTTTGCCGGGACGCCGGGGTACCTGTCTCCAGAGGTCCTGAGGAAGGACCCGTACGGGAAGCCGGTGGACATGTGGGCCTGTGGTGAGCCGTCCTCCATGTTGATCCCATTCAGGGTCCATCAGTTTTAACAGAATGAAACTAGAATCAGAGAAACGCTTCCAGATGTTGGACATACTGACGGTTCTGGTAGGACCTACTGACGGTTCTGGTAGGACCTACTGATGGTTCTGGTAGGACCTTCTGACGGTTCTGGTTCCATCTGCTTCATAAAGACCAGCTGAACATCTGGATCAGTGGAACCAGATGTTCTGTTGCTCTGATCATCTGTCGTAAATGTTCCTGCTGATGTCATGTCTGAAAACGCTCGGTCTGGCCCAGTTCTGTGACCCGGGTGTTCTGGTTCTGTTCCAGGGGTGATCCTCTACATCCTGCTGGTGGGCTACCCTCCGTTCTGGGACGAGGACCAGCACCGCCTCTACCAGCAGATAAAAGCCGGAGCCTATGACGTGAGCCGCGCTGCCGTAGAACCCCGAGCTCCGGGTCAGAACCGGATCCGTTCTGCTAACCGTGTCCGTGTCCCTGCAGTTCCCGTCCCCAGAGTGGGACACGGTGACGGCCGAGGCCAAAGACCTCATCAACAAGATGCTGACCATCAACCCGGCCAAGAGGGTCACAGCCGCCGACGCCCTCAAACACCCCTGGATCTGTGTACGTCTCTGAGCCGCCTGCAGCCCTCTGACCCCTTCCTGAGAGTCACCTTTGACCTTCTGCTGTCTCTGTATCCATAGCAACGCTCCACAGTGGCCGCCATGGTCCACAGGCAGGAGACAGTGGAGTGCCTGAAGAAGTTCAATGCCAGGAGGAAGCTGAAGGTAGGTGTTCTGCTTCTACCGTTCCAACCGGTTCTAACTGGTTCTAACTGGTTCCAATCAGATCTAACCGGTTCCAACTGGTTCCAGTCGGATCTAACCGGTTCTAACTGGTTCCAGTCGGATCTAACCGGTTCTAACTGGTTCCAATCGGATCTAACCGGTTCTAACTGGTTCCAATCGGATCTAACCGGTTTTAACTGGTTCCAGTCGGATCTAACCAGTTCTAACTGGTTCCAACCAGTTCTAACTGGTTCCAGTCAGATCTAACCGGTTCTAACTGGTTCTCCTCTCTGCAGGGAGCCATCCTGACCACCATGCTCGCCACTCGGAACTTCTCAGGTAACTCTTCCTCTATAGATCCCCCTCACTGCCTCATGTCGGGGTCTCAGTGGCCTTTGGTTCCTGCTGACTTGGACCGGAGCTCCAGGTCCAAACCCTGAGGGACCGGTCCAGCAGAACTCTGATGTTCTCAGCAGTGACTCTTTTCTTCTTCTTCCCTCCTCTCTTGTTCTTCTGCTCCAACCCGGAAGGTGAGAGTCTAGTTCTCCTTCTGGGTCCGGTTTGGTTCTGGCCCATTATCCGGTCCATTGGAGTAACTGCATAGAGCTCCTGAGTGGCTCGCTGGGTGTTCAGAGGTCAAAGGTCAGCCTGCTCATCTACCTGGTTGCTCTCAGATGGTTCCACTGCTCTCATCTGAAGCACGGCTGTTAAGCTAGTTAGCATTTCGGGTAACACAAGCTAAAAGGTTGACTGACATTTCTGGAACCACTTTGACCCCCCCGCTCTAAATCAGTTCACATTCTGCCGCCATCATGGAGGACCACAACCACAGACTAAAGCCACGACCAGGAGCCGGACACACAGGCCCGTCTCCTGGAGGCCCCGTCCCCTGGAGGCCCGTCTCCTGGAGGCCCCGTCCCCTGGAGGCCCCGTCCCGTCTCCTGGAGGCCCCATCCCCTGGAGGCCCCGTCCCCTGGAGGCCCCGTCCCGTCTCCTGGAGGCCCCTTCCCCTGGAGGCCCCGTCCCCTGGAGGCCCCGTCCCCTGGAGGCCCCGTCCCCTGGAGGCCCCGTCTCCTGGAGGCCCCGTCTCCTGGAGGCCCCGTCCCCTGGAGGCCCCGTCCCCTGGAGGCCCCGTCCCCTGGAGGCCCCGTCTCCTGGAGGCCCCGTCCCCTGGAGGCCCCGTCCCCTGGAGGCCCCGTCTCCTGGAGGCCCCGTCCCCTGGAGGCCCCGTCCCCTGGAGGCCCCGTCCCCTGGAGGCCCCGTCCCCTGGAGGCCCCGTCTTCTGGAGGCCCCGTCTCCTGGAGGCCCCGTCTCCTGGAGGCCCCGTCTTCTGGAGGCCCCGTCTTCTGGAGGCCCCGTCCCCTGGAGGCCCCGTCTCCTGGAGGCCCCGTCCCCTGGAGGCCCCGTCTCCTGGAGGCCCCGTCCCCTGGAGGCCCCGTCTCCTGGAGGCCCCGTCTCCTGGAGGCCCCGTCCCCTGGAGGCCTGTCTCCTGGAGGCCCCGTCTCCTGGAGGCCCCGTCTCCTGGAGGCCCCGTCTCCTGGAGGCCCCGTCCCCTGGAGGCCCCGTCTCCTGGAGGCCCCGTCTCCTGGAGGCCCCGTCCCCTGGAGGCCCCGTCTCCTGGAGGCCCCGTCTCCTGGAGGCCCCGTCTCCTGGAGGCCCCGTCCCCTGGAGGCCCCGTCTCCTGGAGGCCCCGTCCCCTGGAGGCCCCGTCTCCTGGAGGCCCCGTCTCCTGGAGGCCCCGTCTTCTGGAGGCCCCGTCTCCTGGAGGCCCCGTCCCCTGGAGGCCCCGTCTCCTGGAGGCCCCGTCCCCTGGAGGCCCCGTCTCCTGGAGGCCCCGTCCCCTGGAGGCCCCGTCTCCTGGAGGCCCCGTCTCCTGGAGGCCCCGTCCCCTGGAGGCCCGTCTCCTGGAGGCCCCGTCCCCTGGAGGCCCCGTCCCGTCTCCTGGAGGCCCCATCCCCTGGAGGCCCCGTCCCGTCCCCTGGAGGCCCCGTCCCCTGGAGGCCCCGTCTTCTGGAGGCCCCGTCCCCTGGAGGCCCCGTCCCCTGGAGGCCCCGTCCCCTGGAGGCCCCGTCTTCTGGAGGCCCCGTCTCCTGGAGGCCCCGTCTCCTGGAGGCCCCGTCCCGTCCCCTGGAGGCCCCGTCCCCTGGAGGCCCCGTCCCCTGGAGGCCCCGTCTTCTGGAGGCCCCGTCTGCTGGAGGCCCCGTCCCCTGGAGGCCCCGTCCCCTGGAGGCCCCGTCCCCTGGAGGCCCCGTCCCCTGGAGGCCCCGTCCCCTGGAGGCCCCGTCTTCTGGAGGCCCCGTCTTCTGGAGGCCCCGTCCCGTCCCCTGGAGGCCCCGTCCCCTGGAGGCCCCGTCCCCTGGAGGCCCCGTCCCCTGGAGGCCCCGTCTTCTGGAGGCCCCGTCCCCTGGAGGCCCCGTCCCCTGGAGGCCCCGTCCCCTGGAGGCCCCGTCTCCTGGAGGCCCCGTCCCGTCCCCTGGAGGCCCCGTCCCCTGGAGGCCCCGTCCCCTGGAGGCCCCGTCCCCTGGAGGCCCCGTCCCCTGGAGGCCCCGTCTTCTGGAGGCCCCGTCCCCTGGAGGCCCCGTCCCCTGGAGGCCCCGTCCCCTGGAGGCCCCGTCCCCTGGAGGCCCCGTCTTCTGGAGGCCCCGTCTCCTGGAGGCCCCGTCCCCTGGAGGCCCCGTCCCCTGGAGGCCCCGTCCCCTGGAGGCCCCGTCCCCTGGAGGCCCCGTCTTCTGGAGGCCCCGTCCCGTCCCCTGGAGGCCCCGTCCACTGGAGGCCGCGTCTCCTGGAGGCCCCGTCTCCTGGAGGCCCCGTCTTCTGGAGGCCCCGTCTCCTGGAGGCCCCGTCCCCTGGAGGCCCCGTCTCCTGGAGGCCCCGTCCCCTGGAGGCCCCGTCTCCTGGAGGCCCCGTCCCCTGGAGGCCCCGTCCCCTGGAGGCCCCGTCTCCTGGAGGCCCCGTCCCCTGGAGGCCCCGTCCCCTGGAGGCCCCGTCCCCTGGAGGCCCCGTCTCCTGGAGGCCCCGTCTCCTGGAGGCCCCGTCCCCTGGAGGCCCCGTCCCCTGGAGGCCCCGTCCCCTGGAGGCCCCGTCTCCTGGAGGCCCCGTCTCCTGGAGGCCCCGTCCCCTGGAGGCCCCGTCCCCTGGAGGCCCCGTCTCCTGGAGGCCCCGTCTCCTGGAGGCCCCGTCCCCTGGAGGCCCCGTCCCCTGGAGGCCCCGTCCCCTGGAGGCCCCGTCCCCTGGAGGCCCCGTCCCCTGGAGGCCCCGTCCCCTGGAGGCCCCGTCTCCTGGAGGCCCCGTCCCCTGGAGGCCCCGTCCCCTGGAGGCCCCGTCTCCTGGAGGCCCCGTCCCCTGGAGGCCCCGTCTCCTGGAGGCCCCGTCTCCTGGAGGCCCCGTCCCCTGGAGGCCCCGTCCCCTGGAGGCCCCGTCCCCTGGAGGCCCCGTCCCCTGGAGGCCCCGTCTCCTGGAGGCCCCGTCCCCTGGAGGCCCCGTCCCCTGGAGGCCCCGTCCCCTGGAGGCCCCGTCCCCTGGAGGCCCCGTCTCCTGGAGGCCCCGTCCCCTGGAGGCCCCGTCCCCTGGAGGCCCCGTCTCCTGGAGGCCCCGTCCCCTGGAGGCCCCGTCTCCTGGAGGCCCCGTCTCCTGGAGGCCCCGTCCCCTGGAGGCCCCGTCCCCTGGAGGCCCCGTCTCCTGGATTGGCTGATGAAGGTGATGAGGAGCTGCGGGCTGACCTTTGACCTCTGGTCCCTCCAAAGCCCCTCCCCCCAAGGCTTCCAGTAATTGATTGGATCGGATCAGAACCTGGTTCTGACCCGTCTGGGTTCTTGTTAAACTCGCTGCTGCTAATTTTGTCTCATTGTTGTTTGTTTGTTTTTTGCAGTAGCCAGGGGCCTGATGAACAAAAAGACAGACGGCGTCAAAGTAAGGCTCCGCCCCCTGTCTCCTTGCCCCTCCCCTGTCTTGTAGCCCCTCCCCTATCCGTGGCTCCACCCTTTGTTTCTAAGCCCCTCCCCCTGTCTCAAACTGCTATTTTTCCTCAAACATTCTGGTGAAACGGATCAAACCAGGGCTTTGCGCTTCCCTCACTGCTCACCAGAGGCTCCGCCTCCACGCTCTGAGTGAAGGAGCAGCTGCCGCCAGAACCAGGGGATGAGGTTCTGCTCCGCGTCCCATCCTGGTTGTTCTGATCCTGAAGCTTTCTGGTTGTTTCTCTGTGGCTGCAAAGGTTCTGCTGGGTTCATGCTGGTGTCCCTCAGCAATAGGTGGAGGCAGGGCATCCGGGTCTGCCAGATCCAAACCTCTGATATCTTTCTGTTTGGGTTCCTTTACCCAAGTAGGTACCAGTAGAACCTGGATCGGGTCTCAGGCTTTATTTTCCAGTTTTGGTTCCATTGTCTTTTCTCTCTTTATTCAAATTCAATTCTATTCAGTTTATTTCTATAGCTCCAATTCACATCATGTCATCTCAGGTCACTTTATAGATCCAGATCAACCAGATCATCCAGTCAGATTGATTCAAAGTTTTCTATCTAAGGAAAACCAGCTGCTTGCATTGACTCATTGACTCAAATACAATCCCTCACACTAAGCATGCTTGTAGCGACAGTGGAGAGGAAAAACTCCCTTTGAACAGGAAGAAACCTCCAGCAGAACCAGGCTCAGTGTGAGCGGCCATCTGCTGAGGCCCACTGGGGTTCAAGGAGACAGAAGCAGACATAGAAATGGAGTCAAAGGTTCTGATGAACCATGTTCAGAATAATTATAATCTGAGATCAGTTTCATCTCATCCACATGAAGCGACTGACGGATCATCATCTGGATTAGCTGATATAGCTGAGTGTCATCAACCTAACAGTGGAAACTAATCCCAATCCCAAAATAAGATTTATGCTCACATAATCCTCTTGCTGCAGCCAGGTTTCTGTAAGGCAAAGCAAGTCAATGTGATTATCACAAATCAAGTCATTAACTAGTAGACTTTTAGAGGAAAGAGATCTGATGTCAAACAGACCGCATTTAATCGTTTTAACTTTTTCCCCAATTGGAGTTATTTTGATTTTAATTAGATTATCAGGATTTAGTTTTCTAATTTATTAGATTTTGGTCTGGATGGAGTAAAGAGTGGGTAACAGTAGAGAAGCTGCAGAGAGGTCTGTTAAACTAGGACTCTGCTTCCTGGTCTGCACCCTGGGGGGTCAGGGTTCTGCTTCCTGGTCTGCACCCTGGGGGGTCAGGGTTCTGCTTCCTGGTCTGCACCCTGGGGGGTCAGGGTTCTGCTTCCTGGTCTGCACCCTGGGGGGTCAGGGTTTTGGAGGACTAATAAATGTGGCCAGATTCCTAGAAAGAAGAGCTGCACCATACAAAGTGGGATGGATGCCGTCTCTCCGAATCAGACCAGGCTTTCCCCAAAAGGATTGCCAATTATTAATGTAGCCCACGTTGTTTTCAGGGCACCACCTAGACAACCAGCGGTTGAATGACGACATGCGGCTAAACATGTCATCACTGGTCAGATCAGGGAGGGGACCAGAGAAAATTATGGAGTCCGACATTTTTTTGGCAAACTTACACACCGAAGCAACACTAATTTTAGTGACCTCCGATCGGCGTAACCGGGTGTCATTACCACCAGCGTGAATAACAATCTTACTGTATTTAACCTCCTTCCTCCCTCCCTTCCTTACTTCCTTCCTTCCTTCCTTCCTCCCTCCCTCCCTCCCTCCCTCCCTTCCTCCCTCCCTCCCTTCCTTCTTTCCTCCCTCCCTCCCTCCCTCCCTCCCTCCCTCCCTCCCTCCCTCCCTCCCTCCCTCCCTCCCTCCCTCCCTCCCTCCCTCCCTCCCTCCCTTCCTTCCTTCCTTCCTTCCTTCCTTCCTTCCTTCCTTCCTTCCTTCCTTCCTTCCTTCCTTCCTCCCTCCCTCCCTTCCTTCCTTCCTTCCTTCCTGCCTTCCTCCCTCCCTCCCTCCCTTCCTTCCTCCCTTCCTTCCTCCCTCCCTCCCTTCCTTCCTGCCTCCCTCCCTCCCTCCCTCCCTCCCTCCCTTCCTTCCTTCCTTCCTGCCTGCCTCCCTCCCTCCCTTCCTTCCTGCCTTCCTTCCTCCCTCCCTCCCTCCCTCCCTCCCTCCCTCCCTCCCTCCCTCCCTCCCTCCCTCCCTCCCTCCCTCCCTCCCTTCCTTCCTGCCTTACTTCCTTCCTTCCTCCCTCCTTCCCTCCTTCCTTTCCTCCCTCCCTCCCTCCCTCCCTTCCTCCCTCCTTCCTCCCTCCCTCCCTTCCTTCCTTCCTTCCTCCCTCCTTCCTTCCTTCCTTCCTTCCTTACTTCCTTCCTTCCTTCCTTCCTTCCTTCCTTCCTTCCTTTCTCCCTCTATCCATTCCTTCCTTCCTTCCTTCCTTCCTTCCTTCTCCCTCTATCCCTTCCTTCCTTCCTTCCTGCCTCCCTCCCTCCCTCCCTCCCTTCCTTCCTTCCTTCCTTCCTCCCTCTCTCCCTTCCTTCCTTACTCCCTCCCTCCCTCCCCCCTTCCTTCCTTCCTTCCTTCCTTCCTGCCTGCCTCCCTCCCTCCCTTCCTTCCTTCCTTCCTTCCTTCCTTCCTTCCTTCCTTCCTCCCTCCCTCCCTCCCTCCCTCCCTCCCTCCCTCCCTCCCTCCCTCCCTCCCTCCCTCCCTCCCTCCCTCCCTCCCTTCCTTCCTGCCTTACTTCCTTCCTTCCTCCCTCCTTCCCTCCTTCCTTTCCTCCCTCCCTCCCTCCCTCCCTTCCTTCCTTCCTTCCTTCCTTCCTTCCTTCCTTCCTCCCTCCCTCCTTCCTTCCTTCCTCCCTCCCTTCCTTCCTCCCTCCCTCCCTTCCTTCCTTCCTTCCTCCCTCCTTCCTTCCTTCCTTCCTTACTTCCTTCCTTCCTTACTTCCTTACTTCCTTCCTTCCTTTCCTCCCTCCCTCCCTTCCTTCCTTCCTTCCTTCCTTCCTTCCTTCCTTCCTTCCTTCCTTCCTTCCTTCCTTCCTTCCTTCCTCCCTTCCTTCCTTCCTCCCTCCCTCCCTCCCTCCCTCCCTCCCTCCCTCCCTCCCTCCCTCCCTCCCTCCTTTCCTTCCTTCCTTCCTTCCTTCCTTCCTTCCTTCCTTCCTTCCTTCCTTCCTTCCTTCCTTCCTTCCTTCCTTCCTTCCTCTCCAGATCACCAAGCCTCATGTCGTCTCCAGAGACGCCGTCTCCTCTCCTCCTTTCCGCCTGGTTGTTGTTTCCCTGCTTCTGATTGGCTGCTGCTGTCCATCAGTGACGTCTGAACTGTCTTCTCTGTGTCCAATGAGGTCTGTCCTCCTGTCCATCCTTCTTCATCTCATCTCTGCTCCATTGTTGTGGGTGGGGACATCAGATGGACGATGGATCAATAGATGGACAATCATCTGATGTTCTGCTGTAATTAATGTGGGCGGAGTCAGGCTGACCTGTGAGACAATTGTCTCCTTCCTGGGAACTAAAGGGAAGAAGATCCCAGCCAGAAGGTTCTGAACCTTCAGCCAGAGAATGTATGGAGACTGAGGACATGAAAAAAGGTCTCCTGACCTCCAGAGTAGAGACCACCTTCTACAGAGGGTTGGAGAACTGGACCCTGAAGGATCCGAGTACCCAAGGCGGGCGGGGGGGTCAGGTTCTAGCAGAAGGTTTATAGATGATCCTGGGTCTCTGTCTTCTTCCTCCTCCTCCTCTTCATCATTGTGCTTCTGGTTCTGGTCCAAACAGTTTTTCTTCTGGTCTGCCTGTGAGGTTCTTCTCCTAACCGTCTCCTTCTCTCCTGCTGTGGCTCCTCTCTGACCAGGAGCCTCAGACCACAGTGATCCACAACCCGGCCGACGGAAACAAGGTACCGATCCGATCAGGAGCTGCAGCTGCCGTCTTCGTTAGAGCTTCTGATCATGTTTGTGTCCGTTGGTTCTGAGAACTTGGCATCGTGTGAAGTGGTTCTGAATTCAGATGCATGTTTTTATTTCATTGATAAAATGTTGGTTGTTTAGAATCCGTCCTTTAAATTTAGGATCCAGGAACCGTCCCTAGAACGGATCCAGGAACCGTCCCTAGAACGGATCCAGGAACCGTCCCTAGAACGGATCCAGGAACCGTCCCTAGAACGGATCCAGGAACCGTCCCTAGAACGGATCCAGGAACCGTCCCTAGAACGGATCCAGGAACCGTCCCTAGAACGGATCCAGGAACCGTCCCTAGAACGGATCCAGGAACCGTCCCTAGAACGGATCCAGGAACCGTCCCTAGAACGGATCCAGGAACCGTCCCTAGAACGGATCCAGGAACCGTCCCTAGAACGGATCCAGGAACAGTTCCCGGAAAAGGATCCAGGAACCATTCCTAGAATGGATCCTAGAACGGATCCCAGAACTATATATCTAGAACAGTTCCCTTAACGGGTTCCAGAACGGTTCCCAGAACTGTTCCAAGAATTGTTCCCAGAATGGATCCCAAAGCTGTTCCTAGAACAGCTCCCAGTTCTCAGATCCTGGAACCATGCAGGCATGGACCCGGTCTGTTCCGGTAGAACATGTGCTGTGCGCAGATGTTTGGATCCACACATGCATGCTGGCATCTCTGTGCTAACGGATGCTAATGTGGATCCTAGCGGTTCTGTAGTCACTGGAACCGGACCATCCATTGCTTTTATTTTGAAAGGCAGAACCTGAACTGAGAACTACAATCAGAGGCTCTTTGGGTCATAGAACTGTGCTGACCGGGTTCTGGAGCGATTTTTCACCAGAGAACATGAAGTCGGTTCCATTAAGCTGGAATGTGTTTTAGTTTTTGAACTTTTAGTTCTGAGATCCTTTATCGCAACAAACAGGAACCAAAATGTTTCCACAATCAAACCAGGAAGTTGATCAAACAGGAGAATTCTTCTAATGAAGTTTTTTCCTAGAAGTTCTTCTTTTCCAGAAACGTCCTCAGATCCGTTTGTTGCTGTCATGAGTTCACTTCATGGTTCTGGAGAAGTCCCTTCCATCAGTTCTGTCCTCCCACCCGGTTCTGTTTTCTCACCTGGTTCTGTTTTCCCACCTGGTTCTGTTTTCCCACCTGGTTCTGTTTTCCCACCCGGTTCTGTTTTCTCACCTGGTTCTGTTTTCCCACCCGGTTCTGTTTTCTCACCCGGTTCTGTTTTCTCACCTGGTTCTGTTTTCCCACCCGGTTCTGTTTTCTCACCCGGTTCTGTTTTCTCACCTGGTTCTGTTTTCCCGCCTGGTTCTGTTTTCCCGCCTGGTTCTGTTTTCCCACCTGGTTCTGTTTTCCCGCCTGTTTCTGTTTTCCCACCTGGTTCTGTTTTCCCACCTGGTTCTGTTTTCCCACCTGGTTCTGTTTTCCCGCCTGGTTCTGTTTTCCCACCTGGTTCTGTTTTCCCACCTGGTTCTGTTTTCCCACCTGGTTCTGTTTTCCCGCCTGTTTCTGTTTTCCCACCTGGTTCTGTTTTCCCACCTGGTTCTGTTTTCCCACCTGGTTCTGTTTTCCCACCCGGTTCTGTTTTCTCACCTGGTTCTGTTTTCCCACCCGGTTCTGTTTTCTCACCCGGTTCTGTTTTCTCACCTGGTTCTGTTTTCCCACCCGGTTCTGTTTTCTCACCCGGTTCTGTTTTCTCACCTGGTTCTGTTTTCCCGCCTGGTTCTGTTTTCCCGCCTGGTTCTGTTTTCCCACCTGGTTCTGTTTTCCCACCTGGTTCTGTTTTCCCGCCTGTTTCTGTTTTCCCACCTGGTTCTGTTTTCCCACCTGGTTCTGTTTTCCCACCTGGTTCTGTTTTCCCGCCTGGTTCTGTTTTCCCACCTGGTTCTGTTTTCCCGCCTGGTTCTGTTTTCCCACCTGGTTCTGTTTTCCCACCTGGTTCTGTTTTCCCACCTGGTTCTGTTTTCCCACCTGGTTCTGTTTTCCCACCCGGTTCTGTTTTCTCACCTGGTTCTGTTTTCCCACCCGGTTCTGTTTTCTCACCCGGTTCTGTTTTCTCACCCGGTTCTGTTTTCCCACCCGGTTCTGTTTTCCCACCCGGTTCTGTTTTCCCACCCGGTTCTGTTTTCTCACCCGGTTCTGTTTTCTCGCCTGGTTCTGTTTTCCCGCCTGGTTCTGTTTTCCCACCCGGTTCTGTTTTCCCGCCTGGTTCTGTTTTCTCACCCGGTTCTGTTTTCCCACCCGGTTCTGTTTTCCCGCCTGGTTCTGTTTTCCCACCCGGTTCTGTTTTCCCGCCTGGTTCTGTTTTCCCACCCGGTTCTGTTTTCCCGCCTGGTTCTGTTTTCTCACCTGGTTCTGTTTTCCCGCCTGGTTATGTTTTCCCGCCTGGTTCTGTTTTCTCACCCGGTTCTGTTTTCCCGCCTGGTTCTGTTTTCCCACCCGGTTCTGTTTTCTCACCTGGTTCTGTTTTCCCACCCGGTTCTGTTTTCTCACCTGGTTCTGTTTTCCCGCCTGGTTCTGTTTTCCCGCCTGGTTCTGTTTTCTCACCTGGTTCTGTTTTCCCACCCGGTTCTGTTTTCCCACCCGGTTCTGTTTTCTCACCTGGTTCTGTTTTCCCACCCGGTTCTGTTTTCTCACCTGGTTCTGTTTTCCCACCCGGTTCTGTTTTCCCACCCGGTTCTGTTTTCTCACCAGGTTCTGTTTTCTCACCTGGTTCTGTTTTCCCGCCTGGTTCTGTTTTCCCACCCGGTTCTGTTTTCCCACCCGGTTCTGTTTTCTCACCCGGTTCTGTTTTCCCGCCTGGTTCTGTTTTCCCACCCGGTTCTGTTTTCCCACCCGGTTCTGTTTTCTCACCCGGTTCTGTTTTCCCGCCTGGTTCTGTTTTCTCACCTGGTTCTGTTTTCCCGCCTGGTTCTGTTTTCTCACCTGGTTCTGTTTTCCCGCCTGGTTCTGTTTTCCCGCCTGGTTCTGTTTTCTCACCTGGTTCTGTTTTCCCACCCGGTTCTGTTTTCCCACCCGGTTCTGTTTTCTCACCCGGTTCTGTTTTCTCACCCGGTTCTGTTTTCCCGCCTGGTTCTGTTTTCCCACCCGGTTCTGTTTCTCACCTGGTTCTGTTTTCCCACCCGGTTCTGTTTTCCCACCCGGTTCTGTTTTCTCACCCGGTTCTGTTTTCCGACCTGGTTCTGTTTTCCCGCCTGGTTCTGTTTTCTCACCCGGTTCTGTTTTCTCACCTGGTTCTGTTTTCCCGCCTGGTTCTGTTTTCCCACCCGGTTCTGTTTTCTCACCTGGTTCTGTTTTCCCACCCGGTTCTGTTTTCCCACCCGGTTCTGTTTTCTCACCCGGTTCTGTTTTCCCACCTGGTTCTGTTTTCCCGCCTGGTTCTGTTTTCTCACCCGGTTCTGTTTTCTCACCTGGTTCTGTTTTCCCGCCTGGTTCTGTTTTCTCACCCGGTTCTGTTTTCCCACCTGGTTCTGTTTTCCCGCCTGGTTCTGTTTTCTCACCCGGTTCTGTTTTCTCACCTGGTTCTGTTTTCTCACCCGGTTCTGTTTTCTCACCCGGTTCTGTTTTCCCACCCGGTTCTGTTTTCCCACCCGGTTCTGTTTTCCCACCCGGTTCTGTTTTCCCACCCGGTTCTGTTTTCCCACCTGGTTCTGTTTTCCCGCCTGGTTCTGTTTTCTCACCCGGTTCTGTTTTCTCACCTGGTTCTGTTTTCCCGCCTGGTTCTGTTTTCCCACCCGGTTCTGTTTTCCCACCCGGTTCTGTTTTCCCACCTGGTTCTGTTTTCTCACCCGGTTCTGTTTTCTCACCCGGTTCTGTTTTCTCGCCTGGTTCTGTTTTCCCGCCTGGTTCTGTTTTCTCGCCTGGTTCTGTTTTCCCGCCTGGTTCTGTCCTCCCACCCGGTTCTGTTTTCCCACCCGGTTCTGTTTTCCCACCTGGTTCTGTTTTCCCACCTGGTTCTGTTTTCCCACCTGGTTCTGTTTTCCCACCCGGTTCTGTTTTCCCACCCGGTTCTGTTTTCCCACCCTGTTTTCTTTTCTCACCGGGTTCTGTTTTCCCACCCTGTTTTCTTTTCCCACCCGGTTCTGTTCTCTCACCCTGTTTTCTTTTCTCACCCGGTTCTGTTTTCTCACCTGGTTCTGTTTTCCCGCCTGGTTCTGTTTTCCCACCCGGTTCTGTTTTCCCACCCGGTTCTGTTTTCTCACCCGGTTCTGTTTTCTCACCTGGTTCTGTTTTCCCACCCGGTTCTGTTTTCCCGCCTGGTTCTGTTTTCCCACCTGGTTCTGTTTTCTCACCTGGTTCTGTTTTCCCACCTGGTTCTGTTTTCTCACCTGGTTCTGTTTTCTCACCTGGTTCTGTTTTCTCACCTGGTTCTGTTTTCCCACCCGGTTCTGTTTTCTCACCTGGTTCTGTTTTCTCACCCGGTTCTGTTTTCTCACCTGGTTCTGTTTTCCCACACGGTTCTGTTTTCTCACCTGGTTCTGTTTTCTCACCCGGTTCTGTTTTCTCACCTGGTTCTGTTTTCCCACCCGGTTCTGTTTTCCCACCCGGTTCTGTTTTCTCACCCGGTTCTGTTTTCCCACCTGGTTCTGTTTTCCCGCCCGGTTCTGTTTTCTCACCTGGTTCTGTTTTCCCACCCGGTTCTGTTTTCCCGCCCGGTTCTGTTTTCCCGCCTGGTTCTGTTTTCTCGCCTGGTTCTGTTTTCCCGCCTGGTTCTGTTTTCCCGCCTGGTTCTGTTTTCTCGCCTGGTTCTGTCCTCCCACCCGGTTCTGTTTTCTCACCTGGTTCTGTTTTCTCACCTGGTTCTGTTTTCCCGCCTGGTTCTGTTTTCCCGCCTGGTTCTGTTTTCCCACCCGGTTCTGTTTTCCCACCCGGTTCTGTTTTCTCACCTGGTTCTGTCCTCCCACCCGGTTCTGTTTTCTCACCTGGTTCTGTTTTCCCGCCTGGTTCTGTTTTCCCGCCTGGTTCTGTTTTCTCACCCGGTTCTGTTTTCTCACCTGGTTCTGTTTTCCCGCCTGGTTCTGTTTTCCCACCCGGTTCTGTTTTCCCACCCGGTTCTGTTTTCCCACCCGGTTCTGTTTTCCCACCCGGTTCTGTTTTCCCACCTGGTTCTGTTTTCTCACCTGGTTCTGTTTTCTCACCCGGTTCTGTTTTCTCGCCTGGTTCTGTTTTCCCGCCTGGTTCTGTTTTCCCACCCGGTTCTGTTTTCCCGCCTGGTTCTGTTTTCCCACCTGGTTCTGTTTTCCCACCTGGTTCTGTTTTCTCACCTGGTTCTGTTTTCCCGCCTGGTTCTGTTTTCTCACCTGGTTCTGTTTTCCCACCTGGTTCTGTTTTCTCACCTGGTTCTGTTTTCTCACCTGGTTCTGTTTTCCCACCTGGTTCTGTTTTCCCACCTGGTTCTGTTTTCTCACCTGGTTCTGTTTTCCCACCTGGTTCTGTTTTCCCACCTGGTTCTGTTTTCTCACCTGGTTCTGTTTTCTCACCTGGTTCTGTTTTCCCACCCTGTTTTCTTTTCTCACCGGGTTCTGTTCTCTCACCCTGTTTTCTTTTCTCACCGGGTTCTGTTTTCCCACCTGGTTCTGTTTTCTCACCTGGTTCTGTTTTCTCACCTGGTTCTGTTTTCCCACCTGGTTCTGTTTTCCCACCTGGTTCTGTTTTCTCACCTGGTTCTGTTTTCCCACCCGGTTCTGTTTTCTCACCTGGTTCTGTTTTCCCACCCTGTTTTCTTTTCCCACCCGGTTCTGTTCTCTCACCCTGTTTTCTTTTCTCACCGGGTTCTGTTTTCCCACCCGGTTCTGTTTTCCCACCTGGTTCTGTTTTCTCACCCGGTTCTGTTTTCCCGCCTGGTTCTGTTTTCCCACCTGGTTCTGTTTTCTCACCTGGTTCTGTTTTCCCACCTGGTTCTGTTTTCCCACCTGGTTCTGTTTTCTCACCTGGTTCTGTTTTCCCGCCTGGTTCTGTTTTCTCACCTGGTTCTGTTTTCCCGCCTGGTTCTGTTTTCTCACCGGGTTCTGTTCTCTCACCCTGTTTTCTTTTCTCACCGGGTTCTGTTTTCCCACCTGGTTCTGTTTTCTCACCTGGTTCTGTTTTCCCACCTGGTTCTGTTTTCCCACCTGGTTCTGTTTTCTCACCTGGTTCTGTTTTCCCACCCGGTTCTGTTTTCTCACCTGGTTCTGTTTTCCCACCCTGTTTTCTTTTCCCACCCGGTTCTGTTCTCTCACCCTGTTTTCTTTTCTCACCGGGTTCTGTTTTCCCACCCGGTTCTGTTTTCCCACCTGGTTCTGTTTTCTCACCCGGTTCTGTTTTCCCGCCTGGTTCTGTTTTCCCACCTGGTTCTGTTTTCTCACCTGGTTCTGTTTTCCCACCTGGTTCTGTTTTCCCACCTGGTTCTGTTTTCTCACCTGGTTCTGTTTTCCCGCCTGGTTCTGTTTTCTCACCTGGTTCTGTTTTCCCGCCTGGTTCTGTTTTCCCCTCTGGTTCTGTTTTCTCACCTGGTTCTGTTTTCCCACCTGGTTCTGTTTTCCCACCTGGTTCTGTTTTCTCACCTGGTTCTGTTTTCCCACCCGGTTCTGTTTTCTCACCTGGTTCTGTTTTCCCGCCTGGTTCTGTTTTCCCACCCGGTTCTGTTTTCCCACCCGGTTCTGTTTTCCCACCTGGTTCTGTTTTCCCACCTGGTTCTGTTTTCTCACCTGGTTCTGTTTTCCCGCCTGGTTCTGTTTTCTCACCTGGTTCTGTTTTCCCACCTGGTTCTGTTTTCTCACCTGGTTCTGTTTTCTCACCTGGTTCTGTTTTCCCACCTGGTTCTGTTTTCCCACCTGGTTCTGTTTTCTCACCTGGTTCTGTTTTCCCACCTGGTTCTGTTTTCCCACCTGGTTCTGTTTTCTCACCTGGTTCTGTTTTCTCACCTGGTTCTGTTTTCCCACCCTGTTTTCTTTTCTCACCGGGTTCTGTTCTCTCACCCTGTTTTCTTTTCTCACCGGGTTCTGTTTTCCCACCTGGTTCTGTTTTCTCACCTGGTTCTGTTTTCTCACCTGGTTCTGTTTTCCCACCTGGTTCTGTTTTCCCACCTGGTTCTGTTTTCTCACCTGGTTCTGTTTTCCCACCCGGTTCTGTTTTCTCACCTGGTTCTGTTTTCCCACCCTGTTTTCTTTTCCCACCCGGTTCTGTTCTCTCACCCTGTTTTCTTTTCTCACCGGGTTCTGTTTTCCCACCCGGTTCTGTTTTCCCACCTGGTTCTGTTTTCTCACCCGGTTCTGTTTTCCCGCCTGGTTCTGTTTTCCCACCTGGTTCTGTTTTCTCACCTGGTTCTGTTTTCCCACCTGGTTCTGTTTTCCCACCTGGTTCTGTTTTCTCACCTGGTTCTGTTCTCTCACCCTGTTTTCTTTTCTCACCGGGTTCTGTTCTCTCACCCTGTTTTCTTTTCTCACCGGGTTCTGTTTTCCCACCTGGTTCTGTTTTCTCACCTGGTTCTGTTTTCCCACCTGGTTCTGTTTTCCCACCTGGTTCTGTTTTCTCACCTGGTTCTGTTTTCCCACCCGGTTCTGTTTTCTCACCTGGTTCTGTTTTCCCACCCTGTTTTCTTTTCCCACCCGGTTCTGTTCTCTCACCCTGTTTTCTTTTCTCACCGGGTTCTGTTTTCCCACCCGGTTCTGTTTTCCCACCTGGTTCTGTTTTCTCACCCGGTTCTGTTTTCCCGCCTGGTTCTGTTTTCCCACCTGGTTCTGTTTTCTCACCTGGTTCTGTTTTCCCACCTGGTTCTGTTTTCCCACCTGGTTCTGTTTTCCCGCCCGGTTCTGTTTTCCCACCTGGTTCTGTTTTCTCACCTGGTTCTGTTTTCTCACCTGGTTCTGTTTTCCCACCTGGTTCTGTTTTCTCACCTGGTTCTGTTTTCTCACCTGGTTCTGTTTTCTCACCCGGTTCTGTTTTCCCGCCTAGTTCTGTTTTCCCACCTGGTTCTGTTTTCCCGCCTAGTTCTGTTTTCTCACCTGGTTCTGTCCTCCCACCCGGTTCTGTTTTCTCACCCGGTTCTGTTCTCCCACCCGGTTCTGTTTTCTCACCTGGTTCTGTCCTCCCACCCGGTTCTGTTTTCTCACCCGGTTCTGTTCTCCCACCCGGTTCTGTTTTCCTCACCCGGTTCTGTTCTCCCACCCGGTTCTGTTTTCTCACCTGGTTCTGTCCTCCCACCCGGTTCTGTTTTCTCACCCGGTTCTGTTCTCCAACCCGGTTCTGTTTTCTCACCCGGTTCTGTTCTCCCACCCGGTTCTGTTTTCTCACCTGGTTCTGTCCTCCCACCCGGTTCTGTTTTCTCACCCGGTTCTGTCCTCCCACCCGGTTCTGTTTTCTCACCCGGTTCTGTTCTCCCACCCGGTTCTGTTTTCTCACCTGGTTCTGTTCTCCCACCCGGTTCTGTTTTCTCACCCGGTTCTGTTCTCCCACCCGGTTCTGTTTTCTCACCTGGTTCTGTCCTCCCACCCGGTTCTGTTTTCTCACCCGGTTCTGTTCTCCCACCCGGTTCTGTTTTCTCACCTGGTTCTGTCCTCCCACCCGGTTCTGTTTTCTCACCCGGTTCTGTTCTCCCACCCGGTTCTGTTTTCTCACCCGGTTCTGTTCTCCCACCCGGTTCTGTTTTCTCACCTGGTTCTGTCCTCCCACCCGGTTCTGTTTTCTCACCCGGTTCTGTTCTCCCACCCGGTTCTGTTTTCTCACCTGGTTCTGTTCTCCCACCCGGTTCTGTTTTCCCACCCGGTTCTGTTTTCTCACCCGGTTCTGTTCTTCTGCAGGAGTCCAGTGAAAGCTCCAACACCACCATGGAGGATGATGATGTCAGAGGTAGGATCTCTGTGCCTGCTTTGGTTCTGGGGGAGGGGGGGGGTTTGGTTCTCTGAGCAGCGCAGCAGTGTGGTTGTCATAGCAACATGTTCCCATGTGACTCCAACAATGGGCCTCAATGCTAACCTGTTAGCGTCACGTCGGTGAGGAGAGGAATCAGTGAACCAATGTCCTCAGAACTTTATAGATGGAACCGACACAGCCAGATTGGTCCCGCCTCCTGCGCTGTGATTGGCCCCGCCTCCTGCGCTGTGATTGGCCCCGCCTCCTGCGCTGTGATTGGTCCGCTCTGCTTTGCACCAGAGTACCGAGCAGAACCAGAACCAGACTGAGCTGAGTCCAGTGGAAGTCACACGGTTGCATTGGGCCATCAGTCTCCCGGAACCAAACGGTCCGATTCCTGTAGAAGTTCTAGGAAGTTCTGGGGCGGTTGGACATAGAGACGCAAGAATCCACCAAGTTCTGATCCAGTGTCCAATCATCTGTCCTCTGCTCTGTCCAATCATCTGTCCTCTGTCCAATCATCTGTCCAATCATCTGTCCTCTGCTCTGTCCAATCATCTGTCCAATCATCTGTCCTCTGTCCAATCATCTGTCCTCTGCTCTGTCCAATCATCTGTCCTCTGTCCAATCATCTGTCCAATCATCTGTCCTCTGCTCTGTCCAATCATCTGTCCTCTGTCCAATCATCTGTCCAATCATCTGTCCTCTGTCCAATCATCTGTCCTCTGCTCTGTCCAATCATCTGTCCTCTGTCCAATCATCTGTCCAATCATCTGTCCTCTGCTCTGTCCAATCATCTGTCCTCTGTCCAATCATCTGTCCAATCATCTGTCCTCTGCTCTGTCCAATCATCTGTCCTCTGTCCAATCATCTGTCCTCTGCTCTGTCCAATCATCTGTCCTCTGTCCAATCATCTGTCCAATCATCTGTCCTCTGTCCAATCATCTGTCCAATCATCTGTCCTCTGTCCAATCATCTGTCCAATCATCTGTCCTCTGCTCTGTCCAATCATCTGTCCTCTGTCCAATCATCTGTCCTCTGCTCTGTCCAATCATCTGTCCAATCATCTGTCCAATCATCTGTCATCTGTCCAATCATCTGTCCAATCATCTGTCCCCTGCTCTGTCCAATCATCTGTCCTCTGCTCTGTCCAATCATCTGTCCAATCATCTGTCCTCTGTCCAATCATCTGTCCTCTGCTCTGTCCAATCATCTGTCCAATCATCTGTCCCCTGTCCAATCATCTGTCCTCTGCTCTGTCCAATCATCTGTCCAATCATCTGTCCCCTTCCTTTCAGGCTGATTGTTTTCATGTTTTTGTCTCATTTTCTCTGTCCTCTTCGTCTCCCCATCATCATCCTCGCCCCCCCAGTCCTCCGCCTCAGACACTCAGACCCCCCTCCCCCCCTGCTCCCCCAGTCCTCGTCGTCCTCTTCGTCGTCCTCCTCTTCCTCCTGCTGGGACTGTCCCGGTCTAGAGGAGTTCAGCCGGTTGGTCCTCTTCCTCCTGATGGCCGCCTACCTGCTGCTCTTCATCACATCTGTCCACCTCGTCTTCATCACTTCATCCTACTGCGACCCCCAGCCGGCCCCCCCGCCGGGCCCTGGCCCCCAGCACATGGGGCCGTTAGCTGACCGAGGCCCCCCCGACCCCTGCTGTGAGTGTGATGATGATGATGATGATGATGATGGAACTGAGGTCCACCAGAACCAGTCCAGGGTTCCGGTTCTGGTGGACCTCCTGCGGGGTCAGAGGACTGAGCTAATTGGCTGCTGGTTCCCAGGCCACCTTGGTTCTGGTCTGGGTTCTGGGTCATAGGTATGTCCAGGTGGGTTCAGGCGGGTCGGACCTGTAGAACTTCCATCTGGCGCCTCCTGCTGGAGAAACGAGGAATAAATCTGCTGCTTTTAGACGTTTGATGGAATTTAAGCAATTATCAGAAAAAAAATGAGACGGAACCAGAACCAGCGGGTCCAGTGGAACCAGAACCAGCGGGTCCAGTGGAACCAGAACCAGCGGGTCCACTGGAACCAGAACCAGCGGGTCCAGTGGAACCAGAACCAGCGGGTCCAGTGGAACCAGAACCAGTGGGTCCAATGGAACCAGAACCAGCGGGTCCAGTGGAACCAGAACCAGCGGGTCCAGTGGAACCAGAACCAGCGGGTCCACTGGAACCAGAAGCAGTGGGTCCAGTGGAACCAGAACCAGCGGGTCCAGTGGAACCAGAACCAGCGGGTCCAGTGGAACCAGAACCAGCGGGTCCACTGGAACCAGAACCAGCGGGTCCAGTGGAACCAGAACCAGCGGGTCCACTGGAACCAGAACCAGCGGGTCCAGTGGAACCAGAACCAGCGGGTCCACTGGAACCAGAACCAGCGGGTCCACTGGAACCAGAACCAGCGGGTCCAGTGGAACCAAAACCAGTGGGTCCAGTGGAACCAGAAGCAGCGGGTCCAGTGGAACCAGAACCAGCGGGTCCAGTGGAACCAGAACCAGTGGGTCCAGTGGAACCAGAAGCAGCGGGTCCAGTGGAACCAGAAGCAGTGGGTCCAGTGGAACCAGAACCAGCGGGTCCAGTGGAACCAAAACCAGCGGGTCCAGTGGAACCAGAACCAGCGGGTCCAGTGGAACCAAAACCAGCGGGTCCAGTGGAACCAGAACCAGCGGGTCCAGTGGAACCAGAAGCAGCGGGTCCAATGGAACCAGAACCAGCGGGTCCAGTGGAACCAAAACCAGCGGGTCCAGTGGAACCAGAACCAGCGGGTCCAGTGGAACCAGAACCAGCGGGTCCACTGGAACCAGAACCAGCGGGTCCAGTGGAACCAGAAGCAGCGGGTCCATTGGAACCAGAACCAGCGGGTCCATTGGAACCAGAACCAGCGGGTCCAGTGGAACCAGAACCAGTGGGTCCAGTGGAACCAGAAGCAGTGGGTCCATTGGAACCAGAACCAGCAGGTCCACTGGAACCAGAACCAGCGGGTCCAGTGGAACCAGAAGCAGTGGGTCCAGTGGAACCAAAACCAGCGGGTCCATTGGAACCAGAACCAGCGGGTCCAGTGGAACCAGAACCAGCGGGTCCACTGGAACCAGAACCAGCGGGTCCACTGGAACCAGAAGCAGTGGGTCCAGTGGAACCAGAACCAGCGGGTCCACTGGAACCAGAACCAGCGGGTCCAGTGGAACCAGAACCAGCGGGTCCAGTGGAACCAGAACCAGTGGGTCCACTGGAACCAGAACCAGCGGGTCCAGTGGAACCAGAACCAGCGGGTCCAGTGGAACCAGAACCAGTGGGTCCAGTGGAACCAGAACCAGCGGGTCCACTGGAACCAGAACCAGCGGGTCCAGTGGAACCAGAACCAGCGGGTCCAGTGGAACCAGAACCAGTGGGTCCAGTGGAACCAGAACCAGCGGGTCCACTGGAACCAGAACCAGCGGGTCCAGTGGAACCAGAACCAGCGGGTCCACTGGAACCAGAACCAGCGGGTCCACTGGAACCAGAACCAGCGGGTCCAGTGGAACCAGAAGTAGCGGGTCCAGTGGAACCAGAACCAGCGGGTCCACTGGAACCAGAACCAGCGGGTCCAGTGGAACCAGAACCAGCGGGTCCAGTGGAACCAGAAGCAGCGGGTCCAGTGGAACCAGAACCAGCGGGTCCACTGGAACCAGAACCAGTGGGTCCAGTGGAACCAGAAGCAGTGGGTCCAGTGGAACCAGAACCAGCGGGTCCACTGGAACCAGAACCAGCGGGTCCAGTGGAACCAGAACCAGCGGGTCCAGTGGAACCAGAACCAGCGGGTCCACTGGAACCAGAACCAGCGGGTCCAGTGGAACCAGAACCAGCGGGTCCACTGGAACCAGAACCAGCGGGTCCAATGGAACCAGAACCAGTGGGTCCAGTGGAACCAGAACCAGCGGGTCCAGTGGAACCAGAAGCAGCGGGTCCAGTGGAACCAGAACCAGCGGGTCCAATGGAACCAGAACCAGCGGGTCCAGTGGAACCAGAACCAGTGGGTCTAGTGGAACCAGAAGCAGTGGGTCCAGTGGAACCAGAACCAGCAGGCCTAATTTGATTCAGTATCACCAGGATGAAGGAGAACCTTAGAACGTTCTAGAATGGGCTCCTGTTGCTATGGTTACAGAAGCTTCCGGATGTTCTGCTGCACTCAGAAGGACCTGAAGGTCTCAGACACCGGGACCAGAACCTTATCTGGACTCCTGGCTCTGGAGAAACAGCTCAGCTGGACCTTCAGTGGACCTATAGGAGGTCCAGCATGGAGAGGTCCAGTTTGCTCCAGAACCGCTCTGTTTATCAGCCATCTTTGTTTGCAAAGCAAAGTCCATCAGGAGACGGAGCAGCCAATCAGAACCCTCTGCTGCTGCTGGGTCTATCTGGGTCCGCTCGGCGCCCCCCAGTCTGTCAGCAGCAGCATGAAGGTAGGAGGCTTCCTGGTCCTGGTGTCGGTTCTGGTCCAGGCGTCGGTTGTGGCGTTGGGGCAGCAGACCGTCAGCGTTCAGCAGGCGGGGAACGACACGGCGTCCGTCCGAGGTAACGGTGACTCGCTGACCGTCCATCGTCTCCTAGCTCACCGCGTGACGTCCATGTTCTGTCCGGTTCCGTCCCGTCAGCGATCTGTGATCCATGGTCGATGCTCAGCCTCTTCCTGTTCTTCTCTCACCTCCATCCGTCTCCATGGAGACCAAACACTGTTTATATCATTGAAAACTTTCATTTAAAAGGTTTTCATGAGATCTAAAACATTTTTTTTTTTTTTTAGGATTTTATTTCAGAATCTTCTCATTCATGAAAATCTATTTTTTTCTTTAGTTGTTTGAGGGAGACAGATTTGTAGGAATTTTATTTTTATTTTCCAGATGTGGACCAATAGAAACGCTGTTGCTAAGGACCGCAGGGCAGATCTGGGTGTTTGCCCCATTAGTTGCTCTGAAAAACCTTTTTTTAAAGTTTTCATATTTTGGATGAATTTCCTTTGAACCTGTCCCCCCCCCCCCCCCCGCAGCGCGTAAACAGGAGATCATTAAAGTGACGGAGCAGCTGATTGAGGCCATCAACAGCGGAGACTTTGAGGCCTACACGTGAGTTCCACCTCCCCCATCCTCGTACATCTCCATGGCTGCTACACTAACGGCCGTCTGCTGATCTATTTCAGGAAGATCTGTGATCCCGGCATGACGTCCTTTGAGCCGGAGGCTTTGGGAAACCTGATCGAAGGAACCGACTTCCACCGCTTCTACTTTGAAACAGGTAAGGACCTTCAGGCTGCTTGCTTTGATCCGGTCTAAACCGCTCCGCCATCGGTAGAACGTTTACTGATGGTCTTCCTCTCTTCGCTGAGATGAAGACCAGTCAGAATGCCACCCTGAATGCTCCCGGTCTGAACCTGGTCAATTATCTCTGCAGCGGTTCTGAATAAACCGAATATGAAAAGACGTTCGCCACGATAACCGGCGACGCATCGGTGTGGAAATGAGCGGTGGCTGGTGTTTCCATCACTGCATGATCACCTGACTCCAACGACCCAATCAGAAGCAAGCGAAGAGAAGGAGTATGAGCTCTGTGAAGTAAGCTGTGATGCTAACTCCGTTTGGTCGACAGCTGCGACGCTAACTCTTTTCGGTCGACAGCTGCGACGCTAACTCTTTTCGGTCGACAGCTGCGACGCTAACTCTTTTCGGTCGACAGCTGCGACGCTAACTCTTTTTGGTCGACAACTGCGACGCTAACTCCGTTTGGTGGACAGCTGCGACGCCAATTCTGTTGGGTCGACAGCTGCGACGCTAACTCTTTTTGGTCGACAACTGCGACGCTAACTCTGTTGGGTCGACAGCGGCGACGCTAACTCTGTTGGGTCGACAGCGGCGACGCTAACTCCGTTGGGTCGACAGCGGCGACGCTAACTCCGTTGGGTCGACAGCGGCGACGCTAACTCCGTTGGGTCGACAGCGGCGACGCTAACTCCGTTGGGTCGACAGCGGCGACGCTAACTCCGTTGGGTCGACAACTGCGACGCTAACTCCGTTTGGTCGACAGCTGCGACGCCAATTCTGTTGGGTCGACAGCTGCGACGCCAACCCTGTTGGGTCGACAGCTGCGACGCTAACTCTTTTTGGTCGACAACTGCGACGCTAACTCCGTTGGGTCGACAGCGGCGATGCTAACTCCGTTGGGTCGACAGCGGCGACGCTAACTCCGTTGGGTCGACAGCGGCGACGCTAACTCCGTTGGGTCGACAGCGGCGACGCTAACTCCGTTGGGTCGACAGCGGCGACGCTAACTCCGTTGGGTCGACAGCGGCCACGCTAACTCCGTTGGGTCGACAGCGGCGACGCTAACTCCGTTGGGTCGACAGCGGCTTTTGCTGCTGTTCCCTTCGGCTAGCGGAGCCAGAGCCTTTAAGCAGCTGCTCACTCAGTGGAACCAGAGCCAGAACTAAACAGGCCGGATAGCTTCTAGGTTCGTCGGTTCTGGAGAAAATGCATGAAAAGCTCGGCTACGGATTGTGTGCGATGCTGATGAGGCGCCGCCATTTTGCTCTGCTGTCTGCAGCTCTGTCCAAAAGGAACCCCCAAGTCCACACCATCCTGCTGAACCCCCACGTCCACCTGCTGGGCGACGAGGCCGCCTGCATCGCCTACATCCGCCTCACCCAGTACGTGGACGGCGGCGGAGTGCCGCGCACCATGCAGTCAGAGGAGACCCGCGTCTGGCACCGCCGCGACGGCAAATGGCAGAACATCCATTTCCACCGCTCCGGCTCGCTCACCGTCCCCACCAAGTAGGACCCACCCACCAACATGGCCGACTGACCAGAGGGGGTTTGTGTTTGACCGTCATGTGACCTTTTTTCTTCCAGCTGAAGATGCTCCTGGACCACAGCTGGCGTCCAGCAGTCGGCTGACCCCGCCCACCCCCTGGCCTTCGCTATAGCTCCGCCCTCAGTTTGGGTCTGTGGTTCTGTTGGGCCGATGAGGAGGATCCACGGTTCTGGAGGTTCCAGTCGGCAGCAACAGCTTTAGATCCAGATGTTTAAGTCCCGCCCCCATCGGCGTCAGTTTGAGCTCAGCTTCCTGCTGAAACTTTTCCTGCTCTGCTTTAAGCCCCCCCCCCCCGCTGCCCCCCCTCCCCCCTCCCCTTCCCCCACCCCAACAAGACCGATTTATTCCAGTTTAACAGACTTCATCCTCATCATCATGCCCCCCCCCCCCCCCCCCCCCCCCCCCCCCCCCCCCCCACAGGTTTAAAGGGAAACTTTAGTTGTTTTTTATTTGGTTTAATCATGTTTAATTGATTCATTGATGTTTATTACGAAGCAACAAGCCGGATGTAATTTTAATGTCAAATATTAAAATGTCTTTTAGACTAAAAGTCGACCGTTTTTGGCTTCAGTTCCTTCGTTCATCTGCTGCAGCGGCTCTTCATCCTGGAAGGTGACGCTTTGAGTCGATGGACCGCTAAAACCTGCGCTATGCTAACTCTAGCTGTTAGCATAGCATCCAGGTGGAAGCCGCTCCAACCTTCTTCCACAGTCGTTTGAGTTTGATGCCCGATCCAACGAACATGATTCAACAATCGGTTTTATGTCCTTAGTGCCTGAAGCGTCAGACGGATAAACGCGTTTTAACGAGGTTTTAAAGGAAAGTTTCTAAATTCATCGCTTTGATCATTTCCTGGTTAAAATGATGATTTCTAGAAACGGAACCAGAATCGTTCCTTAAACAAATGACTTCCTGACTAATCTGACCGTTAACAATAAAATCTGAGCAACTTCAGCCGCATTAATACATTAATAATTGGCAATCCTTTTGGGGAAAGGCTGGTCTGATTCAGAGAGACGGCATCCATCCCACTCTGGAAGGCATCTAGAGTCCTCCAGGGTCCAGATCAGGAAGACTCCTGGATGGGTAACGGTAAAGAAGAGTGAATAATTACTAAATGTAGCCCAGATATCTAAGAAAACTTTTCATGACTCGATCTGAGATAATTGGATTAATGGTCTCACAGAAACCTGGCTGCAGCAGGAGGATGACGTTAGCATAAATAGCTAACAGCAGCCATCTTTCAGGCCAATCAGCAGCTACAGGGATCCGGTTTCTTCCTCCTTCACTCAGGCGTCACTCTGCAGAGGAACATGGAGGTCACGTCACACCAAACGTTTCACAGAGTTCACTAGAGGAGTCCTCTGAATGTTCACCCTGATAGAAGAAGTCTCAGGCTGTTTGCTTTTCCCAAACAGTGCAAAGCTGCATCAGGTTTGAACCGGTTATTATCGGACGGGACGTTCCGCCTCCTCTGGCTGCACAGGTCCGATTCATCACGGTTCTGTTGGTTTGAGTGAGAACTTCAATAAATCCATCCTGCTTAGTCATGAACGTGCATCCAAACGTAACGAAGCAGAACCGGTTCTTCCCAGAGTCCAATAACGCCCCTCAGGGTCACGCAAACTCTGTGAATTAATGCCTGAGACCATGTTTCAAAATAAGAGTATCAATTCCGACATGTCCACCTTTTTTACCTATTTGACGTTTTTTATTCTCATTCACTGTTATTAGAACCAAATAAAACCCTTTTTTTCACAGGATTACTTTTACGTCCAGGTGATAGATGAGGTCATTTAGACAAAGCCCAGGTAAATCAGGAGGAATTCCAAAGTAAACCTCCCCTCTAGTCACTCTGTGCTCTCCATCTCTCTGCTAAACCATCAGAAATGGAAATGAGGGCAAGATTTAGAAACGTTTATTTGAAAAAAAAAGACAGATTTAAATTTAAGACATCTGTGAAATATTTTCCTCAAACATAAACCCTTAAACCAACTACCAGTTTTAGTCCGTGAGGCAGACACCCTGTCTACTTTTAAGGCTAGGCTTAAAACTTTCCTTTTTGATAAAGCTTCTAGTTAGAGTGGCTCAGGTTATCCTGAGCTATCTCTATAGTTCTGCTGCTATAGGCTTAGACTGCTGGAGGACATAGGGACCCCTTTTTCATCATTCTACTTCATTCTCACTAACTAATGAGTTTCACTGTAATCTGGGAAAACTAGCCCGCTGACTGTGTATGAAGCTCCAACGGCGGACGCATGGAAAGAAAGAATGACATCACTTCCTGTAAAGCAAATGTACAGTTTTATTGAATTGCAGCTGCTTTTCTTTTTAGCGATTCAGGAGAATTCAATCAGACATGCCAGCATAGATAGTAATAGATTGATATCACCACGGTAACAAGATGCTCTTATCAGGTTCATGGACCTCACAGGTTCTCCTCCTTCATTGGATCACTTTAAACCAGAACCAGTGGAACCCGGTCCAGAACTCCTCCACACAAACGGAGCACATTCAGCTCCGGATGCTGCAGAGCGGATCAGAACTCCAGGAGCAAACGGAGGCGTGAGGATGAAGCTCAGGGCAGCAGGAACCGACCCGACGGAGAACCATGAGGAGCGTCTCTGAGAGTCAGCTGATCTCACAGCAGGTCATGTGATCAGAACCTTCAGGAACTGAGGAAAACCTTGGATTTCAGATGGTTCTGATTCAGCGTGGTGTCATTTATTATCATTTATTATCATTGAGAAGATCAGAGGTTTGATCAAAATTCATAAACCTGCAACTTTCTGCAGTTTCTGATCGTTAGGATTAAAATCTCTGATGGATTAGAACCTAAAGCTGTGAAGGAAAAGTCCAGATTATTTCTGTGATCCTCACAGCTGCAAAGATTCCGCTGACGGGGCGGCCAATCAGAGGGACCAATCAGAGGGGCCAATCAGAGCGGCCGATCAGAGCGGCCAATCAGAGCGACCAATCAGAGCGGCCGATCAGAGCGGCCGATCAGAGCGGCCGATCAGAGCGGCCAATCAGAGCGGCCGATCAGAGCGGCCAATCAGAGCGGCCGATCAGAGCGGCCGATCAGAGCGGCCGATCAGAGGGACCAATCAGAGCGTCCGATCAGAGCGGCCGATCAGAGCGGCCAATCAGAGGGACCAATCAGAGCGGCCAATCGGAGCGGCCAATCAGAGCGGCCAATCAGAGGGACCAATCAGAGCGTCCGATCAGAGCGGCCGATCAGAGCGGCCAATCAGAGGGACCAATCAGAGCGTCCGATCAGAGCGGCCGATCAGAGCGGCCAATCGGAGCGGCCAATCGGAGCGGCCAATTGGAGCGGCCGATCAGAGGGACCAATCAGAGCGGCCGATCAGAGCGGCCAATCGGAGGGACCAATCAGAGCGGCCGATCAGAGGGACCAATCAGAGGGACCAATCAGAGCGTCCGATCAGAGCGGCCGATCAGAGCGACCAATCAGAGCGGCCAATCAGAGGGACCAATCAGAGCGTCCGATCAGAGCGTCCGATCAGAGCGGCCAATCAGAGCGGCCAATCAGAGCGGCCGATCAGAGCGACCAATCAGAGCGGCCAATCAGAGGGACCAATCAGAGCGTCCGATCAGAGCGGCCGATCAGAGGGACCAATCAGAGCGTCCGATCAGAGCGGCCGATCAGAGCGGCCAATCAGAGGGACCAATCAGAGCGGCCAATCGGAGCGGCCAATCAGAGCGGCCAATCAGAGGGACCAATCAGAGCGTCCGATCAGAGCGGCCGATCAGAGCGGCCAATCAGAGGGACCAATCAGAGCGTCCGATCAGAGCGGCCGATCAGAGCGGCCAATCGGAGCGGCCAATCGGAGCGGCCAATTGGAGCGGCCGATCAGAGGGACCAATCAGAGCGGCCGATCAGAGCGGCCAATCGGAGGGACCAATCAGAGCGGCCGATCAGAGGGACCAATCAGAGGGACCAATCAGAGCGTCCGATCAGAGCGGCCGATCAGAGCGACCAATCAGAGCGGCCAATCAGAGGGACCAATCAGAGCGTCCGATCAGAGCGTCCGATCAGAGCGGCCAATCAGAGCGGCCAATCAGAGCGGCCGATCAGAGCGACCAATCAGAGCGGCCAATCAGAGGGACCAATCAGAGCGTCCGATCAGAGCGGCCGATCAGAGGGACCAATCAGAGCGACCAATCAGAGCGGCCAATCAGAGGGACCAATCAGAGCGGCCGATCAGAGCGGCCAATCAGAGCGACCAATCAGAGCGGCCGATCAGAGCGACCAATCAGAGCGGCCAATCAGAGGGACCAATCAGAGCGTCCGATCAGAGCGGCCGATCAGAGGGACCAATCAGAGCGACCAATCAGAGCGGCCAATCAGAGGGACCAATCAGAGCGGCCGATCAGAGCGGCCAATCAGAGCGACCAATCAGAGCGGCCGATCAGAGCGACCAATCAGAGCGACCAATCAGAGCGGCCAATCAGAGCGGCCAATCAGAGCGGCCGATCAGAGCGACCAATCAGAGCGGCCAATCAGAGGGACCAATCAGAGCGTCCGATCAGAGCGGCCGATCAGAGGGACCAATCAGAGCGACCAATCAGAGCGGCCAATCAGAGGGACCAATCAGAGCGGCCGATCAGAGCGGCCAATCAGAGCGACCAATCAGAGCGGCCGATCAGAGCGGCCAATCAGAGCGGCCGATCAGAGCGGCCAATCAGAGCGGCCAATCAGAGGGACCAATCAGAGCGGCCAATCAGAGCGGCCGATCAGAGCGGCCAATCAGAGCGGCCAATCAGAGGGACCAATCAGAGCGGCCGATCAGAGCGGCCAATCGGAGGGACCAATCAGAGCGGCCGATCAGAGCGGCCAATCAGAGGGACCAATCAGAGCGGCCGATCAGAGCGGCCGATCAGAGCGGCCAATCAGAGCGGCCAATCGGAGCGGCCGATCAGAGCGGCCAATCAGAGGGACCAATCAGAGGGACCAATCAGAGCGGCCGATCAGAGCGGCCAATCGGAGGGACCAATCAGAGCGGCCGATCAGAGCGGCCAATCAGAGGGACCAATCAGAGCGGCCGATCAGAGCGGCCGATCGGAGGGACCAATCAGAGCGGCCGATCAGAGCGGCCAATCAGAGCGGCCAATCGGAGCGGCCGATCAGAGCGGCCAATCAGAGGGACCAATCAGAGGGACCAATCAGAGCGGCCGATCAGAGCGGCCAATCGGAGGGACCAATCAGAGCGGCCGATCAGAGCGGCCAATCAGAGGGACCAATCAGAGCGGCCGATCAGAGCGGCCGATCGGAGGGACCAATCAGAGCGGCCGAT